CCCTCCCTCCCCCCCCCCCCCCCAACTCCTTTTTTCGTCTTTCTCTTCTTTCTCTCCTCCGTCTTTCTTACCCAAAAAAACCCTCTTAATAGATGCAGAAAATGAACATTATCGATCAGTCAATTAAAGGACAATCCTGTCCTCACAGTTTTCACCAAACTCCAAGAAAGTGATGCATCAGCATGTCTTCACACTGGTATAGACCTTCTCAGTCTCTCTTCCCCCGAGCTATATCAACAAGATATCGATTCAAAAGCTGCCCAAATATCTTAGTAGAAAATGAGTCAGTGACATGACGATGAGCTTCTCCACCCATTCTCTCTGCCATCGTGGGATCCTGAATAAACTTAGCCATAGCCAAAGCGAACTCTTGTGGGCTAGGGTCACAGAGGAAACCTGTGACGCCATTCTTAATCGTCTCAACTGGCCCCCCACTGTTGCATGCAATAACAGGTTTGTGGGCTGCCATTGCCTCCAACGGAACAATGCCAAAATGCTCATCCTACAATCATCATGTAATTCCTCATAAGTCAGTTTTCTTTAATACAATCAATTTGAGGAGAGAGTATTGGCATTAACCACACCTTGGGTGTATAAATAACACAAAGACATTGGGAGAGGAGCATGTTTCTTTCTGCTGTGGAACAAGATGTGATGAAATTGACGCGGTCAGACACACCTTCCCTTTCCGCTAAGCTTTTCAGCTCCTCCAAGTACTCGACATTCTCTTTAAGGCGTTTATCAAAGCCACCTGAATGAAAAAGGAGTGACAACTAGTCATCCATAAAATGCAAAGCCTGTCATTCATATATTCAACAACAAAGCTTTCATATTGACAAAACAAACAGTGATATGCACTAGCACCTTTATTGGACAAAGAAATTCATAATGAACACAGCACATGTAGTTTTAAAAACCTTAAAAAGTCTACATAGCTTTGCATGGCTCGGGTGTTGACTGTCGACAAAGTCTGGTACCAAGACTTATTACCTTGATGTTACCGTTGTATTATTAATACCTACAGTGCATGTGGCATGGACAAGTAGTCTAAACTTTCCAAACCAAAAGGCTCCAGAATAGATCAGCTTCATTCAATAGAAAAATACAGTGACTGGATTACCAAAACAATGTTTTGAGGTATATTCAGAATCAAAGGTTAGCATCCACAATCGAGTCTATGGACAGCTAATTATAAACCTATTCTGCTAGGGACAAAACTAAACCTCAAATACTTTCCCTCCAAGAACTTAACCTAACCAAATGTTGTGATAATACCATATCCAGGCATTACTAATTTTTTTAAATTATTATAAATAAGTTTATGCCTCGACATTACGTCATTTTGGAATCAGGTTATATTCATATCATCCTTTTAGATAGTGAGCTACAATTTGCCTCAATTATGACAGCTTTGACCCTTACTTGGGGAATAAGAAAGCCTGAATTCATTTTATCACTGAGACTGGAAAACAAATCGGAATGAAGAGGACAGCTTAACTTGTCACTTAACCTCAAACCCATCAACCATGTAGAGGACAGCTTAACTTGTCCCTTAACCTCAAACCCATCAACCATGTATCTTATGACAAAGAAAACCATAATTCAATGAATAACCACCAAAACGAGAGTTTGACATGCAACCCAAATCTCAGCTCCTCCACTCATTCAGCAACTTGTATATCATAAGGTCTGATGATAACTCAACCACAGCGAACAGCCACCATAGCAAGCAAATAGGGCTCCCCACCCCAGCCCCCCCAAAAAATCTAAAAACCTCCCTGGCAATGTTTGACTGTTTTGAGCCAGAAAGTGTACTAAAAGTTTGAGTCGCAAAAGATCGACATGCCTTTTAAGAGGTGTGGCTAGCATAAAAACTCTACTCTTAAAAATTAATGCATTCATATGCTACTAGTGAGGCATAAGTTTCTTCTCACCCATTATTGGCGGTAAGGGTATCATAGCCAAGCCACGAGTTTTTAACACACTCATCACTAGAAATTAGGTACCGGGCTTTCACAAAATAAACATTTCTGCCAATAAATCCGATGTTTCAGGCAGTTAAGAGCCACTTTCGATAGAAGCATGATACTACAGTTGAGCAGGAGAGAAATATGTTTTTGCATCTGAAGTATAAGGAAGTGTCTAATGCAACTATAATGAATCATTCCAGTAGAGTTGGTGATATTTATCTACCACTGCTGTCTAAGGAAGATAATAGTGATCATCCAAAGAGGCATAGACACCTGGCATTACAAATATCGCTGCACAAGAAGATCATAACACATTCTTCCTACAAGGCTTCAACACACAACTAACTATTCCTAAAAACTGCACGGCACATTCCAGAATCAACAAAGAGACAATGACACAAACAATCAATGACAAGACAACATATAAATACTAAAATAATGGATGATTGTACTCCGGCAGGGATGGAATAGGTAAAGACTTGCCTGCAATAGTCAGTGAAACATCAGCTGCATTATTATCTTGAACAACATTCCCTTCAAGGGTGCGAAGCATGGCAAAGGCAGATATTGCTAAATTTATGTTCTTTTTCCTTTCAAACCGGTTGATGGAGAGAAAATTCAACCTACAGAGTAAACAGATAACACAGGTTCTTAAGTTGCACTTTTTTTCTTTTTCTTTTTTTTCCTTCGATTTTTGTGCATGAGCACGGGAAAAAACTCAAAGAGAAGTTAAGATATGGCACTTTGTAATCATTCCTAGAACTTCAAGATACCAAGATAGGGGAAGCATGTTCGTTACTTAAAAGCTGATGGTTCATCAAACTGATCCAAATTGACTGCTGGGTATAGCACAGCTGGTCTAATCCCCTTGGCGTGAAGATTATTGAATGTCTTCGCAAAAGTAGATGCAGTGAATTTGCTGTTAACAAGAATTAAATTTGCCATTCCTGCAGTTCCACAGTTCAATTTGATAGTCTTTGCAGAAAGGAAAAAAAAAAACTTGCAGTTGAAGCAAAAATACAGATGAGAAACACAAAACAGAAATATAAAAACGGACCTGTCGTCATTTCTTCTATAAAGTCTATGGGTTTCCGGTATATGCTCCTAAGAAAAGTTGTGTGTTGAGCCAGTAGCAAATCGGGGAAATGGCAATAAAAAACAACCTGCTGGGAAGCAGACATAATGAAACTAATATGATGAATATCTTTAAATATGTCATACAAAACAACTAGAATTACCTTAATTGACTTTTTTAACTTAATCAATGGAACGACTACAGAGACTTGATCCGCGAGTACAACATCAAATGACGGCCACATGAACAACACACAAAGAGCCACAAAAATGCACCGGAGATACGCACATATTGCATGGAAACGATAGAAAATATGCCGAGGTAGGAAAGCACCATATACCGTAACGGGGAAGGTACCTAGACAATATTTTGATGCATAATAGGCATATAATTAGTGATTGAATATCATTCAGAAAGAGCGATGCATTTAGAAAATAGTTATTTTGTGATGTGACAATAGGAGCAATATTTATTTACCAGCTAGAGTCTCCTCAAAACAGCGCGTTTTGTCATGGTGTGCCGTAAAAACGTGAACATTATGCCCACAGGTCGCAAGTTCCACAGCCGCATCAACAATTAACCTTTCAGCTCCACCTAAACATCATGCTAAGTTAGGAATTTACCTATCAAAAAGGAAAAGAGAAAAGCAACAAAAAAAAGGAACAATGAAGCTATTACAGGAATGGCAATATGATTTCACATATAACTGAAAATCTTCATAAGATCAAAAGTAGAGTTTTGCAATAAATTTATCAACTACCACAAAGCATTTCACAGTCATACTACATATAGAAGATTGTGCACTGGAATTCTGGCCTGGATGAACTCAGAAGGTATGAACAACAAGATTCAAAGGAATATTTTGTCCTATTTGACTTGGTGTAGACTGTAGAGAATTTGAGTTTAGAGCCTAACCAATTGCTTTTTTTAACACGTTGGAACCCTTTCATAAAAATTGTGCAGGGAGAAGAAGGCGATCGGGCCAAATTGCAAATACGGAGTTCCTGCTTCCCAGTCATCAAGAAGTTTGGGGGAAAACAAGTCCAAAGAGAGAACTCCCAACACCATTAAGTACAACCACAGTCACTTTGCCACCACCACAAAACAATCTAATTGTCCATCTTCACCACTACTGTCTTTACCATTTTGCCTCATGGCCATTCTAATTAATTCCGCAAGCAACATCTCCGGCACCACCATAACTCACCTACTCCTTCAAAAGAAATAGAAATGCTTTTTGCCTGGCAAGTCATAAGGAATTCAAATTCGATATACATCTCAATCATTTCCAAAGAAGAATTCAAGGATTTCTACCCTACGTACTGTGTTTGCAGTGTGCATAAGACCCACACCCAGGTGCCATCCTCCAAACTAGGGCTTTTTATTTTTTTAATAGACCCATTCAAGGCAAAAGAGGAAGGTTCCAGGACATAAGATCTACATGACGAAGGCATTAGACCTTCTCAATTGCACTTCTTGCTCAATGAGATAGGGCAGATACTTTTGGCATGCCATCTGACTCTTTCTCGATCTTCACTAATAGGACATCAAGAGGCTTCTTCAGAAGCTCTAGTCGAGCAAGTCGAGGGAAATAAGATTCACTCACTATGTTCTTTCTTTATCACTCTTGTTTTCAATAATTATGGATCAAGATGAATAGACAAATCCCTTTTTTCAGAAAAGGGAGGTTCTGCTAATTTCAATGCCTTGGCCACTGGTTTGGAATGCAGACTAAAGATTGCAGTTCAGGTAAATTAGCTTACTGTTTCTCAGAATTAACTCTATTATTTCAATGTCACGTAAGAAACGTGACTGCCCAACAAGCCAACCAAGCCATCAGCATCATCATCATCACCTCTCACACACCCATGTTTACTCCTAACATCAGTAAATGACTTGTAAAATTCTAGAAGTTAATGATATCATTTTGCACAAAAACATTGAGATTAGAAGGTTGAACAATGTGTGCAAACTTCAGAAAGTTTGGTTGAAAGTATCACCTATTTCTCTAATAGCTTTTCTATAATTTTGGCAGCTCTGGGTACATCTGCATTCAAATCTAACCCACCCAGAACAAAACCCAGATAAATTAGCATGTTCAATACTCATCACAATACCAAAATTGTTGCCTTGCCCTTTGAACATATCTGAAGAAGAAAATCAATGGGAATCCCAGATCGTTAGGTTCAAAAATTCATAAACTCACGCAATTCATAAAAAATTACCGATTCCAAGATCCGGATGAATGATGGCGATGTTCATCTTTGAGCTTCCTCCTCCGTTTCTTCCTTTTCCCTCCATTGCCGTAGACTTCAGGGAGAAAGAATTCGTCTGTCTCTGGGTGTGTTGGACTTGGACTAGAATGAATGCAATTCGGGTTGGGTTAACATGGCCCATAGCCCAATAACAGATATGAGAATGCAAGTTAGAGGTACTTTTTTTCCAAATTAATCGGGTGAATTTGGTAACTTTATTATTATTTTTTTTTTTTGTATTTTCAAAAAATTAAAAAATAGAAACAAATTTTTTTTTTCTGTGGTAAAATTAAAAACATAAAATATGTTTGATAGTCATTTATATTTAAAAAATTATGAAAATAAAAATTCAAAGTATGTTTTGTATTATAATGTTTTTTTTTTGGTCAAGTTTTTAAAAATGATGTAACACGAGAACTTTCTAGAAAGTCACTCATTCTAGTATTATTCTCACTCAAACACAGTTAACTGTAAAGTTCTTATGAGAATTGGTACATTAGTGCTGGTATGATCACACCCTAATGTTTTCATAGCTCATTATAGTTATTTTGGTGACTTTTTTAATCCCAAATATATTGCCCTTCCACTCAACCACTGAAAAACCACCACTCAATACCAACGTCTCCAACATTTCAAAAACCACCATCCAACCATGGAAAACAAAAATAATCAAATAGAGGCGGGAGAGAGAGAGGTGCAAAGAGGGTAAAAGAGACAGGAAAGAAAGGAAGCGAAAATGGGAGGGGTTTTTATACTTGAGCAAAACAACTCATTTTTTTGTTGTTAAGAAGGATCGAAGTTGAAATCTCGTTAATTCTAGCGCGCCTATTTTTGTTTTTAGGTGTTTATGAAAACATTTTTTCTATGTTTTAATTTTTTGACCTTGTTTTAAAAACAAAACTGCTAAAAAAAAATAGAAACACATTTGTATTTTATTTTTTGGCAAAAAGAGAAAATAGAAACAACAAGTTATCAACCACAACCTTAATAATCATCGCCTCAACATCTCAGATTGCCGACAAGAAAAATGGTTTTTTCCTCTCTTTGTTTTAATAACATTTTTTTTATATTTTTGTTTTTGTCCACAACACAAGTTTTACTCTATTCTCATCAAGTTAATNCTCCGTTTCTTCCTTTTCCCTCCATTGCCGTAGACTTCAGGGAGAAAGAATTCGTCTGTCTCTGGGTGTGTTGGACTTGGACTAGAATGAATGCAATTCGGGTTGGGTTAACATGGCCCATAGCCCAATAACAGATATGAGAATGCAAGTTAGAGGTACTTTTTTTCCAAATTAATCGGGTGAATTTGGTAACTTTATTATTATTTTTTTTTTTTGTATTTTCAAAAAATTAAAAAATAGAAACAAATTTTTTTTTTCTGTGGTAAAATTAAAAACATAAAATATGTTTGATAGTCATTTATATTTAAAAAATTATGAAAATAAAAATTCAAAGTATGTTTTGTATTATAATGTTTTTTTTTTGGTCAAGTTTTTAAAAATGATGTAACACGAGAACTTTCTAGAAAGTCACTCATTCTAGTATTATTCTCACTCAAACACAGTTAACTGTAAAGTTCTTATGAGAATTGGTACATTAGTGCTGGTATGATCACACCCTAATGTTTTCATAGCTCATTATAGTTATTTTGGTGACTTTTTTAATCCCAAATATATTGCCCTTCCACTCAACCACTGAAAAACCACCACTCAATACCAACGTCTCCAACATTTCAAAAACCACCATCCAACCATGGAAAACAAAAATAATCAAATAGAGGCGGGAGAGAGAGAGGTGCAAAGAGGGTAAAAGAGACAGGAAAGAAAGGAAGCGAAAATGGGAGGGGTTTTTATACTTGAGCAAAACAACTCATTTTTTTGTTGTTAAGAAGGATCGAAGTTGAAATCTCGTTAATTCTAGCGCGCCTATTTTTGTTTTTAGGTGTTTATGAAAACATTTTTTCTATGTTTTAATTTTTTGACCTTGTTTTAAAAACAAAACTGCTAAAAAAAAATAGAAACACATTTGTATTTTATTTTTTGGCAAAAAGAGAAAATAGAAACAACAAGTTATCAACCACAACCTTAATAATCATCGCCTCAACATCTCAGATTGCCGACAAGAAAAATGGTTTTTTCCTCTCTTTGTTTTAATAACATTTTTTTTATATTTTTGTTTTTGTCCACAACACAAGTTTTACTCTATTCTCATCAAGTTAATAGAATGTATGAGTTTATATGTATACGAATTACTTTTTTTTAAATAATATTCAAATATGTTTCTAACTTTTTGACAAAATTATGCACTTAAAAATATCCAAGTGACAATAAATAATAATTTATAAACTCATGCATTTTATGTTCCCATTAATCACATAAAATTCAAGTTTGACGACTCAATATCAAACGATACATTCAAAAATTGACCTTATAGTTATGGATAGAATAATGAATCGGATGACTTTGCATTACCAAAAAATACTATGGAGGATCATAAAATTGAAATGAAAAACCTACACGTGTCCTTTATAAAATTAGAGATACGTCTATCATAGTAAAAATACGAAAAAAAACTTTGGTTCCGTATCACTAATTATTAATTTTTAAGATTAATTAATAAAATTTGGAGGTCAAATTATACATTATTGAAGTGTTTAAGATGATCTTGAAATGTTAGGATGGAGCCCAAAAAATTATAACTTAATTTAATTAATTTTTTTTTTAACTTAATTTTAAAGTTTGTGGCTCATCCCAAAAAATTATAAAATCACCCCAAAAGCAAACATTTTTTGTTATAACTAAATTTTTAAAATTACATATATTTACCCACAAAAATTATAAATTTAAATATTGTCCCTATATTTTTTTTTCAACAATCACAAGGATATTCAAGTCAAGCTCACCTCCTCGACTAATATCATTAGACACGATTGTGAACTAGGCGGGGGCAAGGAGAATAGTGTCCACCCATGTACCCGCTTCAAAAATATTAGTCTATCGTCGTTAGTTAAGGAAATTTTAATCCCCATCCCTGCTCAACAAGTAAATTTTGATCTCGTCCGTATTTTCGCCTCCATTTTTATGATTTTAATAAAAAAAAATTATAAAATCTCACACATGAATTTACAAGAAAAATGAAAACTCATTACATAATAAATGGTTCAAACATAAAAACTCACAAAAATAATATCTATAATAAATGTGTGCTTCACTTAATTATTTTATTACGAGTTTAACGGGGTAGGCAAGGGCGAGACAAAGGCGGGATGAGAATGAGTTTCAGTCTATTTTTCGCACGGATTTATACAGATATTTTCGTACATATTTATTGTCCAATACATATGATATATCTCCAGTTAAAAAAGAACGAGTTTGAATGAATACCTATTTTTTTTCGGTCCATTGCCATCCCAAAATATCATTCCTAATTCGGCCACCATGTGTAGTAGAGTCTAATATTTAGGGTTAGTAACAAAATTCACTCTGCCAATTTATACTTTCAGTAATCAAAAATTTTAATTTGCATCTTCAAACATATAAATTTGTATCAGACCCTAAGATGAGAAGTGAACTCCTACTGGAGAGCCCCAACCTTTGCCTGGAACAAGGTAGAAGACAAGAGCTAGAAGAGCAGAGACGAAGAGTGGAAATGGTGGCACCTGGAGAAGAGGGGGGCCCCAAGCTTGCTCGTCTCCTCTATTTCGTCGGCGCCGGATGTAATATGATATGCCCCATTGTTCCCCCCATATTCTTTACTTCTGTGTGTCTGTGAATTGGATTAACGATCTGTGATCGAAATTTTTTGGTGCTATGTGTTTCAGTCATATGTACAGCTGCGATCAACAAGTGGAGAGATCTGGAACGAAAGTTTATGATTCAGAAACAGCAACGCCTCGACAAGGAGGGTCTGGGTCAGTTATCTGAAAACCCAGCCAACGCGATAGCTAAAGCTGTGGAATAAGAACATGTGTAAGATCCCCTTTTCTGTTCTTCCTAAAAATCTTTTGGTTTAATTGAGTGTATGTTCAGTTTGTATTGGGATATTGAATTATAGATGAATTGGAATTTAAGTAGAATATTTTGGTATATGAACATATTTGTATTTCATTGACATGAGATTATCTGTTTATGGTTTGTGTACTTTGTTGATTTGCCGTTTTGTAGTCTTTATTTAGATGGATAATTTGGAATTGAGGGTTCTATTACTCTAAAACTAACCTGGTTTTGAGATACACGGTAGTTGTCGTAGTGACCAGGGCTTGTTGAGGAATACCAAATTGTTCGAAATTAATCTAAACAATTCAATGATCAAATGTAAAGGTAGACCTGAACTGATCAACGGGATTGGTTTGTGGAAAGGTAAATTAGATCCTTTAGCTAATCAATTTAGACATTTCGATATGCATAGGTATTGTTCTGTGCTTAAAAGATTGGGTAATTTCTATTTTGCACCTTTAGCCACAAGGATGCTACACGGGATTGGGATATCGGTTGGTTTATACGCAGAGTCTAAATGCAAGGAACTGCATTTAGCTCGCAAGGGGCAGTCAATCTTGGGCATTAGATCTGGGTTTTACCATGATTAAAAAGTTTGGTTGTGTCATAAATTCTCATTTGTCAAGCAGAAGTTCATCTTCCTGCCAAATAAGTCACGCCCAGCAAGTTGCGGCTTGGGGTTGAGGAAGTGTCGCTTGAAAAGGAGGTAAGCTGGTTCTCTTTCCTTTTCTTGCTCTAGTCATAATTTAAGATCATTGATCCCTTCATACCCCTTTTTCAAGCTCTGAAACATGGTATGCGTTAATATATGCACTTTCTATGCAAGTAGCTTTGTTACCATTGGGTTATGGTAATCGGTTTGTCAGAAATGCATGAGAGCCTAATTATGCACAGATACTTCATTAAGGTCATTGTATCTGTATCGGATATTGTATCAGATACGATATTGATACACACCAAACATATCTAAAAATAAATAAAATATAGGGATACTTCGCGAAAATTTCTATATGCATAGAAGTATTGTACAATTTTTAGTTTTAATCTTTACCTTTTTCTTTCAATTTCACATACAATATAATACATCAACAACAATCTATATAACTTTGAAGACACATGGATGTTTGCCAAGTATTATTCACTATCACATGTTCAAATAGTATAAATGAGTTTATTACACTATAATCTTAGCAACAAACACTTTTAAGCAATCAATTTAGTTAAATGTTAGTTCTTATTCCTTTAATTAATCATGTTCACTTTGTAGATGTACTATAGTGAGACAATAAGTGATTTTTTGAAAATAAAAATTATTAATATTGTTTATTATTGTTAAAGAATCACTAAAAATTATAGCTATCAAGTCATTACATAATAGTACAAATATAAGATATACATTTTTATAGACGTATTCTAGCCGTGCTCGGATCTTATTTTTTGGGATTTTGTCGTATCACCGTATCCGTATCTCATATCATTCTCCGCCAGTAACTCTTGAAGCTTTCATGTTATTTCAGCTGAACTAGTAAATGGGATTCTTTAGAAGANACAAATATAAGATATACATTTTTATAGACGTATTCTAGCCGTGCTCGGATCTTATTTTTTGAGATTTTGTCTTATCACCGTATCCGTATCTCATATCATTCTCCGCCAGTACCTCTTGAAGCTTTCATGTTATTTCAGCTGAACTAGTAAATGGGATTCTTTAGAAGAGTTTGAACATAGTATAATTCGTAGTACACTCTAACGCTTCACTTCGAAGAAATTTCTTGAACCATCGCTCCTTACTTGTGATTTGGTTATTGTTCTGAACATCTTATCTTCCACTCTGCTCTTACAAAATAAATGCACTATATGTTTACCAGTACCACAAGCCCTTCATCATTCTTTTATGTTTTATTTGCAAATCATATATTTGTACCTTGACATTTTTCTCACTTAAAACATAAAGAACGATAGTCCCTGCATCTATTTCAAAAAGATTTTCAAATACTTGTCATCCAAGTGTACTACTTGAAGTTTAATGAATCAAGCCAATTAATTCTGAAATATTGTTTCAATCTCTGGTATTTTTAGTTTCTTTTGACACAACTGCTGATAGATTTAAGTGTTTGGCAATTATTCTTTTTGGCGGTGGACTTCATAATTATTCCTCAAATTTGAAGCAATTTCTGGCTATGAGTTATGGGAGGAGAATGTGCACTTGAAGCTGGCTATGAGTTAGATTTCTTTTAGCATACTCGGAACTTTGCTTATGACTCGGTAAAATAAACTAGTGTATGTTATTAGTGCCATCCATCCATCCGGGAAAAAAAAAAAATTCAGGGTTATTATTTCGAACTCTCAAATTCATCTTATTTCATCTTTAATGATTATAGCCATCGGATAGCCTCGGGGTTGTGTGTGTATAAGGTTTTCTGTTGCTTATAATTTTAAGTGTAAGTTTTAGANTGTATGTTATTAGTGCCATCAATCCATCCGGGAAAAAAAAAAATTCAGGGTTATTATGTCGAACTCTCAAATTCATCCTATTTCATCTTTAATGATTATAGCCATCGGATAGCCTCGGGGTTGTGTGTGTATAAGGTTTTCTGTTGCTTATAATTTTAAGTGTAAGTTTTAGAGTAGTTCTGTTTATAAAAAAAAAAAAAAAAATTTAAAATTGTGTGCGTGCGTCTATCTCACACTTCTATGTGTGTGGGCCTAGTTTTTCAAAAAAAATTGGTGCTAGTTGTCTACCAGGGGTTGGGGATAGGGTTATCCCATATCGAATAGCCTTGGGGTTGTATGTGTATTAGGTCATTTGTCGCTTACACTTTTAATTGTAAATTTCAGAATGATTATGTCAATCTAAAAAAAAAACTCGTGACCTTATAACAAAATCTTGGTATTTGAAAACAAAATATCTNAATAGTTCTGTTTGTAAAAAAAAGAAAATTTTAAATTTGTGTGCATGCGTCTATCTCACACTTCTATGTGTGTGGGCCTAGTCTTTCAAAAAAAATTGGTGCTAGTTGCCTACCAGGGGTTGGGGATAGGGCTATCCCATATCGAATAGTCTTGGGGTTGTATGTGTATGTGTATAAGGTCATCTGTCGATTACACTTTTAATTGTAAATTTCAGAATGATTATGTCAATCTAAAAAAAAAAACTCGTGACCTTATAACAAAATCTTGGTATTTGAAAACAAAATATCTCCTTAGAACAAAATCAATATAAAATCTGATATTGACCTGCTGAGCTGCCAAGTGGCTTCAACGTCCAGTAATATTCTCCCAGGTAGCCTCCACGCGCCTGTCACTGAGCCTATAAGTCATTGCACGTACTCGGCACAACCGTTTCAAAACCCCATGTATAAAACAACCCCATTCCACACCACCCCTCCTCACTCTGTCTCTCGAACCCACCCAAATTCCAATGAGCTTCAACCGCTTCTACGAAACCTGGTTCGACCAATTGCACCACATGGTGCACCAACTCACTCAAGCTCGGAAACCACCCACCACCCAAGAATACAACCACGACCTCCATCAACTCGTCAACACAGTCACCTCCCACTACGCGGAGTACTACCGTGTGAAGTCACTCGCCGCCAAGAACGACGTCCTCTCCGTCTTCTCTGCGCCGTGGTCCACCTCCCTCGAGCGGTCCCTCCATTGGATCGCTGGTTGGCGCCCCACCACCGCGTTCCACCTCATATACACCGAGTCTAGCATCTTCTTCGAGTCCCACGTCGTCGACATTCTCCGTGGCCTCCGCACCGGCGACCTCGGTGATCTCACCCCTGGCCAGTTCCACCGTGTCAGCGAGCTCCAATGCCAGACGGTGCAAGAAGAGAATGCTATCACCGATGAATTGTCGGACTGGCAGGCATATATATCCACGTTATTCACCATATATATATATTTGTGTTTTCGTATGAGTAGTTCGGAGTTTATTGAGTTCTTTTCTTAATTCAGTTCGATTAGAAAACAGTCAAACTTGAACGCCTGCATTCGAGTCAATAGTATTTTGAACCTGTCAAGTTTCTGTCGAGTTTAAAAAATTATTCAGATTCAATTTATTTTTTAATTCAAATGAAATTTGAATAGTTCAATTTGCCCTATAAATCAATATTTATTGGAATTTCTACCTTGCCAAAATTAAATATATTTATTGCAATTTTATCATTTTCCTTTGTCCAAATGAAAATCATTTTAAATGAGTACTAATTGGTGGGAGTTAAAGTATAAATTTTGACAGTATTTGATTTTTTATTCTTAATTTTTTTGGTATTATCCTAATCACAATGATTGTGTTCATAATTTTTTTTTTTTAAAAAGTTAATTAACTTTTACCATTATTTTTCTGAATGAAAGCAACTCTTACATTACATTTTTAGAAAACTGTTGTGGGATTTTAAATTAAAAAACACTTGCCTATATTTTCTTTTGTTCTATATTGCATTCAAAAAGAAGGTAATTTTCTTATTTCAAAATTTTTTCTTTGCACTTTTCCAAAATATACCAGTGTTATCTGAATTTTCAGGTAATTATCTGGGTTTTTTTTTAATTTCAGGGTGTCGAAACTATGTCCCAAAATTTTGAAAATATATATATATATATTTATCCTTTAAGCAAAAGTAAAAAAATTTTAGAATTTTCCCAGGAAAATGATTAACAATATTAGAACCGATCCTGTTTAAAATTTTGGGCAAATTTTATTTTGTACCCTAAAAGATTTTAAATTCATCATTTTATACCTTCAAATATTAAATTTATTATATTACACCCTTAATGTATCAAAAGTGTTGAAATATAACTTTTTGTTAGTTTTTTCATCAGGGTTGATTTTTAACAAAAAAATAACGGAAACTAATAGAAATGTCACATTTTAACACTTTTAATACATTGAGGATGCAATATAATAAATTTAATCTTTGAAGATATAAAATAAAAAATTCAAATTTTTTAGGGCACAAAGTAGAAGAAGCCCTAAAATTTTTGATGGGTAGTATCTTGAAATTCTTAATTTATCTAATATGTGTTGTGGATTATAACTCTTGAGTTTATTAGTTTATATTGTAACTGAGGATAGCTGTTGATCTAATAGTCTATGGTCTCGTTGTTGTTGGATTGTGCCCGAACTTTAAAAAAAAAAAAAAGTTTATGTTGTAATTACGAGTTTTGTACAGAATCATTTTTTAATAAATATGATTTGGACAGCTTTTCCATTTTTCTGAAAATTAAAATTTACATATCCATACTTTGAAAAAATGATACATTTCAAAACTGGTACAGGATGGTGCAGGTGATCTCTTTAGGGTTTGTGCGGATCTGGAGGAGAAGATGGAACGGCTGGTGGTGATTTTGGAGAAGGCGGATGCTCTGAGGCTGAAGACTATAGGGAGAGTGGTGGAGCTGCTGACGCCACAACAGTCGGTGGAGTTCTTTATCGCCGCCGCGCATCTGCAGTTTGGGATCCGCGGGTGGGGAACCAACCAAGACCTTCGACGCGGAAATGCGTAAACTTGACTGTATTTTCATGGAGGAGATCGATCATTAGGGTTTTTGTTTTGGCAAGTTACAAAAGGAGGTGTATCATCTCTAATTTGGTTGTAACTTGTTGCATGGTTGTTTCGAATAAGTGCAATGTTATTTCTATGGTTAAGTCAGTGATAGATAAAATTAACAAAATAAATTAATATTTTAAATTTAAGAAACATTTTCGTTTTAATAACAATTTTCGGAAAATTCTAAGAGCATCTTGTATTGCTCTCTCTCTCTCCCTCCCTCTCCGTCTACAAAACATAATTAGCTAGAGCTATGCCCAATATACAAAGGAAAATTCATTTATGTTTTAACTTTTTAATCATAATAAAAAATATTACACGAGTTTTTATGCTTAATATGTCTTATAATTTTAAGAAAAAATTATCAATAAATATTATTTTTTCTTACAAATATCTATTAAGTCTTATCATTTTTATTTTATATCAATGAAGTCCTATTTTTAATATTTTATTTAATTTCATTATGTTTTTATTTTTGTCTTATCATTTAGTTATCAAAATTCTTTCATTCTTTTGAGTCTTAGAATCAATTAATAGAATATTGCAAATTTTATATTAATATTAATTTAAGTTAATTTTTACCCAAATCATATTCTATTAATTTATATTAAATTTAAAATGAGTAAGTTAGGGATTTATATTAGTTATTGCGTTTGAATCGATAACGACATTAAAATGGAATTAATTGGTAAATATTATTGATTGTAACTTTTTAAAATCTTTCTTATTTTATTAAATAATTGATAAATATTGTCTTAGGTTTTAAAATTGGGTAATCTAATGAGATAAGAAAATAAAAAAATGTGAGATTTATTTGGGTCCTACCATGAAATTTATGTTATCTGAGTTTTTTTTTATGGCCTTTTGATGTTAATTTTGTAAGCAATGAATTTTTGTCATCTTAATTGGTTTTAAGAATGAAAAAGGTTTTAATAATAAAAGATAAGGATAAAATTGAAATATAATAGAATTTAGGACTTAATTGAAATAAAATATCAAAAATAGGATTTCATTGATATAAATAAAAAATTATAGGACTTAATAGATTTTTGTAAAAAAAAAAAATAATTATTGATAATTTTTCATAATTTTAAATTAGCTAGAAATTGGTGAAGTAGAAATTGAGTAATGTGAATACTAACTAATTATAAACATTTAGATTAATCGTTAAGGATTATTATTTCTTATAATCTGGGATGATGACACGTTTATTTTGGAAGATATTGCTCACGTGGCACGAATGGGGCTCATGCATGGCAGCACCTGTTAACCAACGAATACGTGTCTCGGAAAGAGAGCCAGTGGCACCTTACAATTAGGGAGTTGGTTAACTTCTACGCTTTCTTTTATGTTTTTTTCACATGACATTCAAGAAGTCATTGCCGTGACATTCTAGAAGTGAATTCTCAGTCAAATCTTACGGTGTAATTCTTCATCTGTTTGTTCCTCCATCGCGGAAGGAAAAGATTTTATAGATGAATTGAACTAGTTCTAGCCTTAACTGACCTCGATAGTTATGAACTAGGTCTCAATTAGTTCGCTGCTGGACTTGTTTTTTAAAAGCTATAGTCTTATATTATTGAAGAGATTCGAAGGGGATTTAAAATTTTCAATCATTATTTAATGTAATGATAATATTATGTTAGTATTGGTGACGTAATATCACTAATTAATAATAAGATCATAAATAAATAAAATATATTTCACTTGAGTGATTATTAATTTACAAAAAAGAAAAGTCGGTAATTATTAGTTTACTAGAGGTAATCCGTGCATGAAAGCACGGTACAATGTAAGTGAAAAGTGACGAATTTGGGAGAGTAAAAATTCAATGTTAATGATTTTGAGAAGTATGTTGGAGACTGTTAGATGAGTCTATTTGATACCGTCGAATAAACTTATTGAAGTTTGTATTATTTAATATTATAGATTTGACACAAATAAAAGTAATATTCTATAATATTTAATCTTCTTACAAATTCTATATTTTATATTTTACTCGAAGGCTATATATTTCATAATTTCTGAACCAAAGGAAGCTCCAACAAATCATACCAATACCTTAAGGAATCAATTTTAATTTGCTAATTTTAACAGATTTTGTATGAATTTTTTTTTTTTTTTTCCAGTACTCAACTTGTTTGACCCAATTAAAAATATATATATCAAGGTGGTCCTAGACCCCTCTTCTCCGCCAATGCCAGAGAGAGAGAGAGAGTAAGTGAGGAGTGAGAAAATGAAGGTAAAATTTAATGTAAATAGTTTTCATAGAGATGTTGGTGGTTATTAGATGAGTTTATTTGAGACTGTCGGATAAATTTATTAAAATCTTTTCTGTTTTATATTATAGATAAATCCATTAAATATAATAGAATTGACTTAAAAAAACATTAATTTATATACATGTAATCAAAATCGAGTTAAATCTAATATAAATTAAAATTTTAATTTATCAAAAACGCATATTGCCAAAATATGTTCCATCAAAAAAAGTTCTACAAATATCATTTATAAAATATTTTTTTTTAATTAGTATAAGTTATTACAAAATTATTAATTTATAAGAATATATTAACGTTGGATTTTCTTAAGAGATAAAAAAAAAATTTCTTGAACTTTTGATTCAAGACATGTTAGTTTGAGATAATTAATTAAATAAATAAAAATAAAATTAATTATGTTAAGTAGTGCCATTGTTTTTTTTTTTCATTTTTTAAATTGATGAGTTTTTTTAATCAAAATGTTTATTATTATGTCTTATAAAAATTTAAATTGTTGCACTACACATATGATATTAATGACAAATTTAACTTATTTAATTGTAATATTAATGAATGTCCTGTGTTCCAAGATCAGCCGTAATCGTTGACCGATTGGAGAAAAAATATTAAATAAAAAATGGTAATTTATTGACCTTTAAATGAATGAATTTGAGATCGTAGGATGTGTCCAAAATTAGTCATATTTGTTGATCGATTGAGGGGGAATATTAAGGAAAAAAAAGTAATTTTTTGATCGTTGGATGAATGAATTTGAGACCGTAAGATAGACTTGTTGAAGCCGCCCTATTTTATATTATAGGTATATATAAAATATATATAATTAAAAAAATTATTTTTTTCCAGGGTGCCCCAGACCCCTCCTCCCTCCACCACTGCCAGAGAAAAAGAGTGAAAAGTGAAAAAATAAAGGTAAAATTTAATATAAATAGTATTGATAGAACTGTTGGTAGTCGTTTGATGAATTTATTTGAGACCGTCGGATTGGCTCGTTGGACTCGCCCTCTTTTATATTATAGATTTATAAATTATAGAATTCATAAAATATAATAGAATTGACTTAAAAAATATTAATTTATATATATGTAATCAAAATCGATTATTAATTTATATACATATAATCAAAATCGAATCAAATTTAAAACAAACTAAAAATCTAATTTATCAAAAAACATATTGCCAAAATATTTTATATAAAAAAAAGATCTACAAATATTATTTATTTTAATTAGTACAAGTTATTACAAAATTATTAATTTATAAGAATATATTAGCGTTGAGTTTTTTTAAGATATAAAAAAAATAGTCTTGAATTTTTGATTCAAAACATGTGTAAGACATGTTAGTTTGAGATAGTTAATTAAATAAATAAAATTAAAATTAATTATATTCAATATAAATGTGTTAAGTAGCGCCCTTATTTTTTTTTTAATCTGTTAAATTAATGAGTTTTTTTTAATAAAAATATTATCATTGTCTGTTATACAAATTCAAAATGTTACACTGCACAGTTGATATTAATAACAAATTTAAACTATTTAATTATTATGTTAGAGAAAATCTTGGGAGGAAAAATATTAAAAAAAAATGTTAATTTATTGATCATTGAATAAATAAATTTGAGACCGTAAAATATGTTCTAAAATCAGTCGTAATCGTTGACTTTTGGGGGGAAAATATTAAGGAAAACAATTATAATTTCTTGATCGTTAGATGAATAAATTTGAAACCGTAGGATCGACTTATTGAATTGGTAATTATTGATTTGTATAGGGTTTATTTTTATATTTATTTATGTATTATTGGCCGTTAATATTATGTCATCTGATTTGATATTCCTGTTATAATGAATATTTTTTTTTATTTTCTTAATCAGGGTAGGTTGACCTGATATGTGAATACAAAATAACTACAAGTATACCAATTCAATCTTCAATTCCGTCCGACCTGACCGGTCAAAGTCAAATGGATGATATTTTGAAGTAAAAAAATATAGTGTGAATTATATTTTATACTCCAAAATATTAAAAATTCTCATTTTATACCTTAAAAATAGATTTTATATTATATCTTTAATGTATTAAAAGTGTTGTTAACTTTTGTTGCTCATTTCATCAACATCAATAGAGTAATTTTTGATGGAATGAACAATGAAAGTTTAATGTCAGGGTTACATTATAATAATTTTAATACATTTAGGGTAAAATAAAAAAATATAGTCTTTAAATGTACAAATTGAGAATTGTTAAAATATTTGGGGTACAAAGTGAGATTTCCCTTAAAAAATATATCAAAATCAAACCAGTGCTAAAGTCACAAGAGAGTTGTGAGACAAAATAACTGTCCACAATAATTTCACCGTCTTCCCTGACCACTCACCCCTAATTCGTCTGTCTTCCAATATTTCACAAAGAGTCAAGTCCACTATTTTTCCTTCACTTCTTACCAATATTTTCGAGAAATTTCTCTTCATATTCTCTCTCTGTCTCTCTAGATGAGATCATTCCATCAATAGCGATGTCACTGAGACGCTCCTTCCTCTCTCGACGAACCACAAGCCGATCCTTCGCTCTCTCCAAATCGTTCAAAGAATTCAAATCCCTAGAAATCACGGAACGACAACAAAACCGTAATTGCGGAGACGACGACGGAGATGAAAATGGCGTCGTCGAATCCAGTGAGGGTTCGTGGTCCACTATGCTACCTGAGCTCCTAGGAGAGATTATAAAGCGAGTCGAAGCGAGCGAAGACAAATGGCCTCTCCGCAAAAACGTCGTCGTTTGTGGATGCGTCTGCAAGAGGTGGAGAATGGTCACCAGAGAGGTCGTTAATTCGCCCCTACAGGGTGGGAAAATTACCTTCCCTTCTTGCCTCAAACAGGTCCAGTTTCGTTTCGAAATTTTTTTGGAATAATTATGATGAATTTCATTGTTGAATTTCGTCGGATTTTAGCATAAAATTTAGGGGATTTGGTTCAATAAGGGTTTGGTTGGTCCTTTTATTGTCAGAATGCTTCATGGTTGAATTATTAATTTTGTTCTATGATATTATGTATCCGGTAGCATGTCATATGCATATATATGTTATGTGTTTATGTATATGTGTAGTAGATGTTTCTTTTGTAAAAAAATAGGAACTTGTAAAGGTTGCTTTGATGCTGCGAAATGAAATTACATAAGGCGCACTCGACTTTTAGGTGAAAGAGTGTAGCGAAAATTTGCTTTGCTCATGCGAAACAGTATTGACTAGGTGATGAAATCTAAATGCGTTTTTTGAGGTACTGGAATGTGCTTGTTTTAATTGGCTACTTAGGTGAAAGCAGCAAATATCAAGTTTTACTGTTGTCAAATGATTGTGTCTTATGACGGCGTGTTTATTTCTTGTCCTTTGCTTTAGCTTTCAAACTTTTAGGAAGTGGTCGACAGTGGTGTATTTTGAATGGGATATGGAAAAACTGGTGATAGGGTCATTCTTGGTTGAGATTTGACAGTTTGGAATTATGTTTTGGAATTGGAATCTTTGTTGGTTAATAAAAATCATTTTGGTTTTTGTAGTAGTTGGTCTAACTTAATTTTCATTTATATTACAGCCGGGCCCACGAGATTCTCCACGTCAATGTCTTATAAAACGAAACAAGAAGAACGGGACGTTTTACCTTTATCTTGCTCTTACATCTTGTAAGTAAATCCCCATGACATTGTATTTTGTGGATGACATATAGTGGCAGATCAATGTTACGAGGTTTATAGCAGTTTGTAGTAGATAGTCTTTTTTGACTGCTTTATTTTTGTAAATTTTTGTTTTTTTATGGTGGATTTCTTACCCACCATTCATGTGCATTTTCAACTTTCTATAAAAAGAAAGTTTGGTCTCCTATCAGAAAAGGGGGAAAAAAAGTTTGCAGCAGTTTGTCAGTCATCTGGTCTCATTTTGTATCCAAGTGGGGACATAAGCTCTAATGCTTGTATAGTCAACCCGAATTAGTCCAAAATTTGATTGGACTTATTATGCAAAACAAGTGTTTAATTTTCCAGCCTTTATACCTAATATTGACTTATGAATCACTTCAAAATTTTTATCTTGAGTTATGTTGTTCTCTTGTCTACCTCTATTTTGGAGCACTGGGCACCTGTGGATAACCACTTTCAAATCCTGCTTTGTAATTTGCCTTCATTTTTTGTGGTGGATACAAAGACTTTTAAGTTTTTTGCTGCATTATGTTTGATGATATGGTGCATGCAAGTTTGGATAAGATTTAAAATGCTTGAAGGTTGAGTGTACCAGAAAAATAACATTCCATCTGTCCCAAAATTTAGGTCCCATTTCGTATTCCAACCTTCTGAAGAATAGGTCTAAATCGTAGTGGGAAATGTTTAATTACCAATATAATGTTGCCTTTGAATTTTTCTTTCCGCCTTTGAATTTTTCTTTCCACCTTTTTGAAACGTTAGGAGGATGAATTGGGAATGTTTCAGAAAAAAAAGCACGTTGACTTTTCAAACCAAACTCTATTTTTGGAATGCACCGAAATGGAAAGATGGACTCTGATATTGGGATAGTGGAAATAATGATATACAAATTTGATGTTCCAACATCTGCTCAAATTGGATATCGTGACAGGAATTTAGTCTGGTATTCAATAAAGTTGTGTACAGAACTAGTTGCTGGAAATTTTGGTACTTGGAGTATATAGTCTAAGAATCAAGAATAAAGCATCTGGAACTTGCATTCCTCAACTAAAATGTTTGACTTGAACTTGGTTGTTGGATGAAAAGTTTATGAGAAGCATCTGGTCCAATTGAACTGATTTTGAATTAATCTGTACTGGTGGCCATAGAGGAATGGGATCCCCATCAAAGGTATATGAGCTAAGATCTTTGTGGGCCTGGTAAACTACTATCGTAGGTTCATCCAAGGCTTTTCCGTGTCGGGGGAATCAAGGCTGAAGTTTCATCCATCATACCAGCCAACTCGATTACTAGCCATTTAAGAGCTGTCTTTCTGCACAGAGGTGGTATCCAATTTATGTCCTCTTTGGGTAATGTCAGGGCTTCCTTGAGGTCTGTCATACCTAGCAATTGAGAGAAAATGATGACAGGCATGTTCACATGTTTTACATGATAAATGGCTGATGTGCCTTTATTTGTGGCAGCATTCACAGAGAAGGGAAAGTTTCTATTAGCAGCACGAAGATATAGACATGGTGCTCACGCCGAGTACATAATATCACTTGATGCTGATGACCTATCTCAGGGTAGCAATGCCTATGTTGGAAAACTAAGGTAAGCATTCCTATTCAATCGTGATACTGTAAAAAGAGAGAACTATAGAATTGAAGCAATTTACTAAAGGATTTGGTGCTTTTTTTTCCCAATGAAATACCGTTGATACTGTAAAATGCACTAGCATTTAGGTTGGATAATCAATATGCATGATGTTTGTTTGTTTTTAGATAAATTATAGGTTTTAATCCATACACATAAATGTACTATATTGTATCTGAACTGAATGCAGCTCTTTTGCTGTTTAGTGTATGATTGATCTCTACTTTTTAGTGGTCGTTCAAAGTGTTGTGAAAAGCTCGCCTAGGCGAGAAGCAAGAAGTGAGGCAAGGGTTTGTAGTCTTGAATACCCCAGGCGAAGCGAATATGGCTGAAGCGAGGAAAAAGTGATCGCTTGTCGCTTAAGCGAAAGGCGAGAAAAGCAACGCATTTGTCAAGTTTTTTAAGTTGTTTTATTTTTTTATTATGGACCGTTGAATTATTTTATTTTTGTTTTAGATTGTTGGACTGGGCAATTATTGCCCCCTTATCCCAATATATGCAAACCCAAACCCTAAATTTGTGATAGAAGCTGCTGGTTGCTTGGTCGTTGCTGCTACTGCTCCTTCCTGATGAAGTTCTGTCAAATTTGCCCCTCTTCTTCTTCTTCTTCTTCTACTTCTGTCTTCTTCTTCGACAGCCAGTATGTTCTTTTGCTTATAGTTCTGCTGCATCTACAGTTCTACTATTGATTCTGTACTGCTTCTAATTTTCTGTTGATTCTGTTTCTATTTGTGCTTCTAATTTTATGCTGATTCTGCTTGTGCTTCTAATTTTATGTTGTTTCTGATTCTGTTTCTAATTCTGTTTGTGCTGCTGTTTTTAATTCTGTTTCTGTTGCTGCTTATGATTCTGTTTCTGTTGTTTTTTGCTTCTGTTTTTGCTTATTCTGTTTGTGTTTCTGTTCTACTGCTTCTGTTTCTGCTTATGCTTCTCTGATTTTTCTTCTCTGCTTCTCTGATAGTAGTGTAACTGTATTTGTTAGTTGATTAATATGTTTTATTACTTAATTGTTTGTCATTTGATTGTGGTGTGATAGTGTCATTCATAAACAAATAAATGGATATTCATAAAATTAGAACTTAGATATTTAGAAGTAATTAAACTAATTTTTTTTTTTTTTTATTGTTTGCTTCACTTCGATGAAGCGTTTGGCTTAGCTTCGCCTCTCGCCTAGGCCTCAAGAGTCTTGGTCGCTTTGGTTCGCTTTACTCCTCAAATAACACTGGTCGTTCAGACTATTGCCTGTTATCCATTTCTCATTACCATTTCCACCATGTGTTGATGAGCATGAATAGGTTTTGTGTGTGGAAATAAGATTACTATCATCATTTAGTAGTTTTTATGGCACATAAATACTAGAAAAGAAGTTAGTTTTGGAATCCTTTTTGGAAATCGTGGGAGTAAGCTAAAAACATCAGTGTAGATGAGTACTTGATTAAGTGCTTACATGTTTCTTTGATTTTGATAGGGCATTCTAGCCAATAAAACAGCATTTTCTTAGAAGGCCTCACCTGCAACAACACCACACATTGAGAGCTTGAACAGGTTTTTTGGGGAGGTCACACCTAAAACAACAATGTACACGCACGCCCCACACCCACCCACCCACAGACAAACACGCACACGTGTATGGTATTGTTATCCCACCCGCTTTACAGGTTGGATATGGAGTTGCAATACCAAATTGTACCAAAGTGCCCACTTTTAAATCTTTTACTTAAGGATTTTTTTACTAATATTGGTTACCCTCCAGTTATGCTATCCAGCTTCAACCAATACTATCATTGCCCTCATTTTCCCCTCCAAAATAAAACAAGATTCACAATCTGTCCTGATGGTATTCGTTCTCCTCTTATCTGTAAGCCTCATCCCATGAAACTGACACAAGAAGCCAATGTTAATAGCCTCTGTATAAAGAATGAAATACAGGTTTTGTTTAGATTTTGGTTTCTTATTCATATCTCTGTTGCTAAGTTTTTTAATCCAATCCGTTCAGCTCTGATTTCCTTGGCACCAACTTTACAATTTACGACAGCAAACCACCACATAGTGGGGCAAAGCCATCGAGCAGCAGATCTGGCCGCCGGATTGCAAGCAAGCAAATAAGTCCCCAAGTTCCAGCTGGCAACTTTGAGGTTGGACAGGTCTCTTACAAGTTCAACATTTTGAAGTCGAGAGGTCCAAGGAGGATGGTATGTTCGCTTAAGTGCCCGTGGTCAGGGGAAACTTTGGCTGACAAACACCAGAACTATTCCGAGATGAAGCAGCCAGAGTGTGCTGCTGCCTCTGGTTGCACAGTTCTGAGGAACAAAGCACCACGGTGGCATGAACACTTGCAATGCTGGTGCTTGAATTTTCATGGACGGGTGACAGTTGCGTCAGTGAAGAACTTCCAACTGGTTGCAACATTGGACCAAAGCCAGCCAGGAGGAAAAGGTGATGAAGAAACAGTTCTCCTCCAGTTTGGGAAGGTAGGGGATGATACCTTCACCATGGACTATCGACAGCCATTGTCAGCTTTCCAGGCATTTGCCATTAGCCTCACCAGTTTTGGTACAAAACTGGCCTGTGAGTAAAACATAGTTTATGTGTCAATCCATGAAACTGGCGTGCATGAATGTCATGTTTTCTCTTTTAGTTGGATTGCTGTATTTCTGCTATGGCTTTCTTGGTTGGTAAAACAAAAGAAGTAATGTAAATGTTGTTTTTGTATGAAATGTGACATTACTACGGATAAAATTATTAAATGACAAACAATTTTACTGCTTGCGAGTATGGTGGTTTCTTAATCCATGTTTGATTAACTATGCCATTACGCCAATTACATTAAGGCTAGCTTTTGGGGGCCCCATACGACCTCAAGCGCGATACTGGAACCTTGTAGGAAACGTCTACCAAAAACCTTTGTTGCATTACCGGAAACTAACTGGATCAGACCCTGGAAGATGGAAGCCGGTAATGATAATTCCCAAGCTTTGCTGAAAGAGTGATACAGTTAGGTGGTCACATTGTTTGTGCTACTCTAAAACTATCAGTTCATTGCACGAAGCTCTTGCCTCTGCATATATAGGAAAGATAGACGACAAATACATATATTCTTTCATTCAAATCCGCAACCCCTTTTTCAGTCTTACAAATTAGTTCCAAGCATTCAATTTCGAATTGTTTTTACCAGCATTTTTTTGTCAGTACAAGCAATTTGTGCTGACCTATAAATGCCCCCACAACATTTCACAAACAAAATAAGAATTTATTACCCACAAGAAAACCATATCTATCAGCCAGAGTCTCTCATAGATGAGCATAATGGTGGTTGAAGGGGAAAACGCAGAAAAGAAAAAAGGTCCATGTACAACCACTTTCTTTTAAGTCTCAAAAGACAACGATAATTCATAAGGCTGACTTTCCTTCTTGCAGCTTATTTTACTTTTTTCCTCGCAGTTTCGCACCAAGAGCCCTCTCCAGTTTGGAAATAATCTGTTGATTTGGAATGGCCTTCCCAGATTCGTACTCTTGTATCACCTGGGGCTTCTCATTGATTATCTGCAAGGTACAATAAGAGATCAAAATATATACAATAAGAGATCATAGCCCATAAATGTGTGGCAAGCATCAAAGGCCCCCCCCCCCCCCCNCATCAGTAATCAGTTATCCTGCATTTCTAATTTTCTTAAGATCATTCCTTGTTGGTGCAGGTACAAGCAGATATTGTAGGTGTTCTCATGGAGAAAATGGAGATTGTCACCTTAGATTTGTTTTCTTGCTTGCTGCCTGTTCTGTTGGGCTTATTGGATAGCATGATAGAAAGGTAACTATATTATAACTTAGTAGCAAAATTTGAGTAGAATGCATGGACCAGGGATGTCACATTGTCTAGGTTTGGTCTTTACCATTCACATGGGTTACTTTCCTCCAAGTATAGGTGGCTACACATGGACTGACCTGTGCTAACACTATCCTGGTTGTTAAGGAAGCAAATGAGCTTATAGCCTAATAGTATCTTAGAGCTCTAGTAGTATTTAGTAATATGTTTTGGTATGTTAGTATTTCTGCCTGAATTTAATCTGGTTTGAGCTTCCAAACCTGGCCCATTGGCCACATTTTCTTGGAACAGCTTGGATCATCTCCGTGCCCCAGTGTATAACGTTTTTCATTCCTCTTAGGCACTAAGCCCCCCCCCCCCCCTTTTCTTTCTTTTCTTTTCTGTGCATGGACACACTAGTGTATTTGCAAACATCAAAATGAGAGAGAGAGAGAGAGACTTGAGCAAGTTGAGCCTGGGTTAGTTTCTTATCCATTCGAGCCTGCATGATGTTTTTCTTCAGTTCGGTTGGCACCTTGTCATCTGCGCATTTAGACAATGCAGAAACATCATAGAGCATTCGAAGGAAACCACATGACTTTGCAAAAACAAGTCAACGGTTGAAACAGAGGTAGAAGTATGCAGAGCCATATAAAATAATACATACCAAGTCAACACAGTAATACAGACAACTACCAATCTCCGACCAATGTATTTTTTTTTCTACAATTTCAATGTTTTGAATATGAAGAGTTCTTTATATCTGATTATCTGAAAATTTACTCCATCAGACAAAAAAAAAATAGCAAAGAAATATTTAAACACTTTCATTTTTCTCTCTCTTCACGCCTATAATTCTTTTCAACCGAAAGGTGAATGAGAAGGCAGTAGCAGAGAACAAATCCCAAGCCAGCAGCAATAACAGTATTTAATGCGAAGTAATAAGTCAAGACCTCATTGTAGGAGATTTCATCTATATTATCTATAACTGTCAAATAATCTGCAACTTTTTCCTCCCTCCCCTGTTTCAATACATACAGTTATTACAGCTCGAAGGTGAAGGAATAAAGGTTCCAATAAAAATTTCTAACCACCCCTCAAAATGCATGGAACTGAGACAACCAAAACAACATAGGAAAAGAACCGTATAACAATAAAGGCCATTAATGTTCCAATTCAAGCTTTTGCGGTTCATATGAACAACATCCAAAGTGCATATACATTCAAAAGATAAAACACAACAAAAGTTACAATGCTAGTTCAGAACGAAGTCACATGCAAGAGAAAATACCCTAATTGTTCATGAGAACACCAACTTGTTTCATACATCCTACTTTTAATTTCCAGTGGCCTTACAGATCTAACCTATTGAATGAATGTTGCACAGAAACGAGTTATTTAAAATGTCATACCACCCCAAGCTAAATGACATGCCCACTGATGGTCACTCTACATATGCAACAATGAACAAATGCCTCCAAATATATTTCTAGACAGAGCTGCTATAGGACATACTTAGGATAAATGAGTTTGCATCACAATAGAAAGACAAACAAAAATATCAAACGTATAACTAGGGTGAGTCTTGAAATTCTACAGGAGCTATAATCAAGAAGGAGATTCTGTATATGACATACAAGAAAAACCACAAGCAGACAATTAGATTTAAGGATGAGCACTCACGAGCAAGATTCTCAGTGTCCTCGTCAAGCTTCCTGGTGTTCAGCGAAGTACTGCTAGAGGCAGCCTTGTTTGTGCCTGCAGTTGCTGTAACAAGATAAAAATTATAACCACAAAATGTCCATTAAAAGTTCCAAGTCTACCAAGAGCAATCAAACTTAGAAAACCATAACACAAAAAGGTCATGAGAAGTATAATAACTCCCCAATGAGTACTTTTGGAACAACAAAGATCTTATATAACTTCAATCTAGAAGTAAATAACATTCAATATAATTTATTATCAAGTAACCATCTCCACCATACTTCAAACAATGTTCAACAAAAAGGATTAGGAAATATAAAAACCATATACAATTTAACCCCTAAGATGTCTAATAATAAAATTGAACTTTGATATAGTTGCTAAATTGTAAAATTACCCTTCAGGTATACAATCCACAAAAATTTAGTCGTGAGCAGAACTCAATTTAAGCGACAGATTTAATCTCTTAAAAAGGTGAAACAATAAAGGAAGAGAAAAGCCCTTAACACGTCAATAGATACAATTTCGGTACATCAAACGCCAAAAGATATATCAATCGCACGCACAAATAGATGATGCAGAGAAATATAAACCCTAACTGAAAGAAACCAAGAGAACATTAGTAGGAATCCACAAATTTTTATACACGTAAAGAGGATTGATACTTGATAAGAATCGGAACCCTAGCTGAATGAAAAAGAGGGTATGTGTACATATATCTAGAGAGAGAGAGAGAGATAGGGACTGACACTTTTTGATGGTTTCGATCTCAGCACCAGAACGACGGGCGGCGTTGACGGCTTTCTCATCCTTGCGAGCGGCGGCGGTGGGAGCTTTCTTCCGGATCACCACCGGCTCCCAGTCTTGTGAGATGGAACCACTCATCCTTCTCTCTCTCTCTCTCTCTCCAAAAAATCTGAGCACTGCGAGTTGTGAGAGAAGAGAGTCTATCGGCCTTTATAAAAAGCAAAATATGGACGTTGTTTGTTTGCATGGGTTACGTTATCCCATAGCTGGATTGCAAATTAGCTGCACCAAGAATGGCTTATTTTCTCGTAATTCCCCTTGTGTCCAGTAAATTGCGTACAGTGCCTATAGTACATTTTTTGAAATATAATGGGTGTCTCTGTAATTAAACTAAATGTTAGGGGGTCTATATATAAATTACCCCAAGAAAAAACGAGGGTTTTTTTACATCTGTTTAATTTTTTCTTTTCCATTTTCTTCCCATAATTCACTCTTTAATCCCATTTAGCTATTGTTTTGAAACGGAACGTCACTATTATACTTCATTTCTCTCCGAATAACCACACAACTTCTTTTTAAACTCTACTCAACTATTTAATTCTGTGTCTTATGAATAATCAGTTCAGCNGAAACGGAACGTCACTATTATACTTCATTTCTCTCCGAATAACCACACAACTTTTTAAACTCTACTCAACTATTTAATTCTGTGTCTTATGAATAATCAGTTCAGCTTGCAGTAAACAGAATTTAAAAAAAAAACCGATGAGTATTGAATTGAAACAAACTATACAGATTGAATTCTCTTCGGGTTTTACGAGAAATTTGTTTCGCTCAACATAATAGTAAAGAAATAAATTCATAAGTAATCCATTTGTCAAGAAAGGGATGGTCCTTGCTTAATAACTTCTTCTCCCTAACTAAAATCCTGTTCTGAAAATGTCTCATCTAAATTCAGACAACTTCTTCATTCAAAGACGCCCACAACTTGATGTACACATAACTCAGCATTGAACCATGCATACCACATCAGAAGGCAAGAATCATCTCACTCTGTAATCCCCCCCTTCTGCTTCATTTATATTCATCTAATTCTCAACCACCAACATAACTTCCTTGTCTATTCTGATGCTCGCTGTCTACCTTCAGGCCATTGGGAACTACATTATCCTTCTGATTACCTTTTACTTCATTTCCAAGACTTTCAACACCATCCTCGTTGAGATGTTCCGGCACTACAAATATGATGAATAGATTATAACTCATCATCAAAGATACAGTTCAATCAGCAGACAAATAATAGCCGGATTAAGGAGTAAACACATTATCCATAAAAATATAAATTTAGTTTCGTTCCAATCCTATAAAAACTTTTCTGAAGATAATGCAATTTCTTTCTAATAATGAGGCCTAAACTACATCTTGCCTCTAGACTTTTCATAACTATTGTGAGGCTTGTCCGAATAAGCAAGGGCTGGTGGGATTGCTGTGTTATGTTCATGCCATTACAACCGAACCACAAGGCCATGATTGGCAGCTGAAATGAGCAGCAGTAGTTATGGACACACAAACACGGAGAGACATGCAATAAGGTGAAATTGATAAATAGAAAACAGCATACTGAAAAACAAAGTCATGCAAGCAAATAATCAAACTTAAGCAACTATTGCAATCAAACTTGCAAGGTAAGTTACAGAACCTCTCCATGAAATCTAATTAGTTGATAATGCAGGGCAAAAAAGCCATTTTAACAGCATGGTACAAATGAAATTTGGAAAATTAAAATTCCCAAAGCTAGATCACAGCCAATTTAGCCGCTCTTCTGTACATCTCTATATTAGCACTCAAAACTGTTGCATTATAGACTAACTAGTGAAGATTTCACAGAAAATATCAAGCAAAATGTTAAAAGGCATGCAATATATCCAATAAAGAACAGTCTTGATTCTTTTTCAATAAATGAACATTCTTAGTTGCAAAATTGCACAGCAATTGTCCATTCTCACACGGATTAGATCAGTTACCTTGAGAAAAAAAAAACAACTAAGAAATCACTCTATGGATGATAAACACAACAAATATCTCACCAAGCAATTAACCTCTCCCTCTGAATTTGCTTCCACCGTATTAAGAATCCCCTCGTCAAGATCTTCCATACATTTGCTAGCATCAGCTATGAGTGAGTGCTGCTACAAACAAAATTAGAAGACAATTAACGCACAAACAACACGATGTTACACAAATCTCTTGCATTTGCAATAAACACAAATATATAGATGTATCCTTATACATATTTGTATGTGTATGCTCTTGACATACAAAAACACAATTAACCTCACAAATCATTGATTCACTGTCATTTGGTAAACTTCCANAGCACAAATATATAGATGTATCCTTATACATATTTGTATGTGTATGCTCTTGACATTCAAAAACACAATTAACCTCACAAATCATTGATTCACTGTCATTTGGTAAACTTCCACACAGAATAGAGACATTTTCTGGAACCACTCCGCCAGTATTATTATTTTCAGAATCTACAATGTTTGTCTCTCTAGCATCATCAACATGCACCTGCAAAATTATTGAAATCAACTCAAGTTGCTACAGAAAAACTAGTCATATGATTATAAGCAAATACCACAGAAATGGATATCTGTCTGTGTACCTGTGACTCTACAGATTTAGCCAGCGACAAAACAATGGTGGGAAGCCGATCAATGTCCCAACCCAGAATTTCACAAATGGCCAGCCCATAAGCTCTATGCGCCCTCCTCTTCTTCGTCTTAGCTATTGACATGGAGTGTTGAACAAGCGCAACACAGTCCTTAAACCTCTTCCCAGCTTTCTTCCCAACCCCACCACAAACCAAACAACAGAACTCACCTTTCCCATAATTCTTCTCATAGTAACCCCTCAATTCGCTGTCTTCCTTTAACACCTTCAAGAAAAACTTGTCCTCTTTGCATCCATCCTCATCCATCTCATCATCTTCCTCCATTTCATCATCTCCATCACTATTATCGTCATCACTATCCGCATTGCTCATCAAAAAGTCCTGCGTAGCTTTCAAAGCCTTTTGCTGCACTCTGTTCGCAGCAAACCGGGCTTCTTCTTCAGCAGAGGGTAACCGGGTGGTGCGAATCGACCGGAGCTTCAATTCAGGCCAGCCGGAGGTAGTTGCCGGCGGGGTTTCGATGGGGGGTTCGCAAGGCCATTCTATGTCGGAGACCGGAGAAGGGTTATTTCTTGGTGGCCCGATTTTACTCTTCCGGCCATTTTTAGCCCTGATGGTCTTTCTTTCCTTCTTGAATTTTGTGGAACTGGAGGCTTGGAGGTGTGTTGATGTGTGGTGGTTAGGGTTTGGTCGGGCAGGGCAATGGCGCCATAGAGAGTGGAGGTAGTTGACATCTTCTCTCAGTTTCTCTTCATAGAATGGATCCATCGGCAGAGAGAGAGAGACAGAAATTGTAGGGTTAGGGTTCGGAATTTTTGAACGACAAGGTTGGATTAGGCGGATCGTAGCTTGAATTGGATTTCCCTAGCAGAATCCGAATGAAGTTTAAAAACCTGATCCAAATCCGAGGTCTTCCACACAATTCTTACCCGAGTGTGTTCTGGATAGTGTTTTGTAAAATTGGAAATTGAAAATTGCAACATGAAATTTGAAAGTTGAAGGGTGAATATTGAATTTGTGGATTTTTTTGGTACCTATTGAAATTTAAAGTACTGAATTAAACTAATATGTTTGATAACTATATAGTTGACATGTGAAAATAAATTAATTTTTAATTTTACCCTTCTATTCTTTAATTGAAAAATATTTATAAAATATGCACAATAAGTGAAAAATAAAATTTGGTCAAACAATAATAATAAATAATAAATAATCAAATAATAATAAGTGAACAATAATAAATTGAGTAACACAATAAATGAACAATAACATCTGATAAAAAAAATAACAGCAAATAAATAATCAAATCATAATAAGTGAACAATAAAAAATTAAATAACACAATAAGTAAAAAATAACTAATAAATAATCGAATAACAAAAAGTGAACAATCACAATAACTAAACAATAATAAATTAAATAACAAAATAATTGAACAATAATAGCTGATAAAAAAAACAATAACAACAACTAATAAATAATTGAATTGAAAAAATACAATGAATTAAATTTCATTAATAACATGTGTGTGTATGTGCAATTTGTGTGTCTATGTGTGTAATTGTGTGTGTGGGTGTATATATGTGTTGAAATATGCGTGTTGTAGAATGTGTGTTTGCAATAGACAAGAGAAGAAAAATAAAAAAAAAGAAGAAAAAGATAAGAGAAGTTGCCGACTAAAGAAGACTTACTTGTCGTTGAAGACAACAATCAGTAAGGTGGATAGATAAGTTAGGGGTTATGGAGAGAAAACTAATTATAGTTTTAATAGGATTATAAAATATTTTGGAGTATAATTATCATATTATAAAATATTATTAAATATATTTTTGTTGAGCGCTTTCAACTTTCAGAATTAAGTAAGATATATCCTACTTAATATTGTAATCTATTTTTAAAGAGCATTTAATATATTAAGAGAATTTAAATTTTAATTATCAAGCAGGCTTAATTAATAAATGTCGAATATATTCATTTTAAATCTCTCTTCATAGAATGGATCCATCAAAAAAGAGAGAGATAGATAGAGAAATTCCAGGGTTCGGATTTATAATTTTTGAACGACAAAATTGAATTAAGCGAATGTAACTTGAATCGGATTTCCCTAATCGAATCTGACTGCAGTTTATAAACTTGATCCAACATTGAGAAGAATATCTCATGAATTCTTCCTCACAATTCATACCCATTTTTTTTTCTCTTTTTTAAGAATATGTCTAAGTTTGTGTTTACTATTCTTTCGAGCTTAAATACTGATTATCATAGTTCGAGCAAGTTTATAATATGTCTCATGAGAAATAAGATTGACTAATCCTTAAAGAGTATGAGAATTGTAAAACTTAAGATCTTTGAGTTATTAGAGGTTAGACTTGATCATTGAACTATCTTTAAGGGTTTTTATACAAAAAAATTGATTTCATCTAATTGACCAAGTTTTTTACCATCCTATATCCAAAGTCTCATGTAATATTAACTTTTTTATACATATGTTTTAGATGATATCGTAATCATAATCAAATCTAAATATTGTTATATCCATAAATTTATAAAATTAGTTTATATATGATAATTGAATTTAAAATCAAATCAAAATTTGACATACTATTAAGCCTAATCAAAATAACATTATCCAAAAAGGTGTGCGAGATTTTCGATCTCCCTCTCTATTTTTGCACCCAAAAGAGGGGGGCATATGTTATTGTACATGACCTATGTAATTTTTTTTTTTTTTTTTGATTTAGAGTCAAGGGTTTTTGCCCCAACTTACTCGTATTTCGATTAATTTTCTTCTTAGTCTGGTCAAAGACAGATTATCTACGCCAAAATTAGAATATTCATGAAGGATAAATTATAAATATTCTGATCTCAAGAGATTACTAGAATTCAAATTCAGGATGTATAAGTTAAAAACTCATCTCTATTATTACTGCTTGAGACCTATGTTATTACACATCCATGTAACATTTGAAATTAGAATTTCTCTCTATTGATTTTTTTTATTGATTCGGTTGAACGGGTATTAAAAATGCAATCTAGATAGATCACTTTAAAACTAGCTTGAGTTTAATTCAATATTTTTAATACTTGATAAAAAAAAACCTTTTGATACAGTGATACTTATGTTAATCTTGGACAAAAAAACTTAGCCTAATTTAAATTTAGATAGTTTTCGGATTAAATTGTTGGGTTTTCGGTACTCAAGCTGCACTATTAACTTAGGTTTCAAATCAAGTTCACTCTCAATTTAATTCGAATCCGACCCGAATTTTTATAACCTGACATCAATTCGTCGGGTCAACAAAAACGAACAGTATCCGTTTAAAGAAACCACTGGCACTCGGTCCACGCCTTTCTGCTCCAATGAAATGGCGGGAATGTGCTAAGCTCGTAACTACCCATAAAACCCTCATGCTTTCTCTATGGTGACACTCTTCCATTTCTTCACAATCGCTCCCCGTAATCCTCACTGTTCAACCACCTTTTTCTTGCAGAAAATCCATAGAATCCTACGATTCGCGGCTCCAATGGCTTCTTCGAACGTCATTGCGGAGTACGCAAAGTCTGGTCGATCTTCGTGCAAAAAATGCTCAAAAACGATCGCTAAAGATGCTCCGAGACTGGGTTTGGTGAGCAGAGACTCGAGAGGGTTTGATATGACCAAATGGCATCACCTGGAGTGCTTTCCTTCGAATTCGGCATCAATTAATGCACTTGACGCAATCAAAGGGTTTTCATCGTTCAAGGTACGGTTGGGTCTTAGATTCAAAACAATTAGGGTTTCGTTGTGAGGTTGATGGCTAAATGTGAATGCGGAAGTCAATTATTTTTGGGGTATGTATTGTATTGGATTGAGCTTAAAGCTCATATGTGTTTTGTTTATTCAGGGTAGTGATCAAGAGGCTTTGAAGAAAGTGGTGAATGTTGGTGAACAGTCGAAGGAGAAGGTAAAAGCCGAGTTTTTGTATTAGTTTGCTGCTCATTTTGAAGTATAAGAAATTTTCATGAAAAAGAATTATAGTCTCTTGAAGTGTATCTGTAGCCAAATGTATACATTTTGAATTTGATCCTATTTTCCATTTAAAAATGACGTACAGTGTTGGAATCTCGAGAAAAAAATTGTTTGGGTAAAAAAAAAAAAACTACTGTTCTTCTGCCTTATTTTCGGCATTCACCGAAGTCACTTTACAAATATACAGGCCAACATGAAATTAGTATTTCTCAACCTCAACTGAAGTTTTCCACACAGGCCCTAAGGTTCCACATTTAAGGCATGCAGTTTGATCTCTTTTTTCACTTACCCCAAATTGTGCATTTCAAACATGTAATAGTGTTTGGCAGAGTTGTTTAGACAAGGGATATCACTATGTCAGATGTACCACGTACAATAGGGGGTTTAAGATGCATCAATATGTTTATGCCTCAAAGGTACTGCTAGGGTTCTGTTTTCTGTTCTGCCTAGAAACCCCAAGGTGCCATCGTAGTACTCATGACAAACTTTATGGTGCTTCAGCTATGGTGAGTTTGATAATATAGAAAGGAGGAAGCTACAAAGCAATTCCCGGAAGAATCGAAAAAGGAATAAAAGAAAGAGCACTAAGTTTTATGCACGAATTCAGAAAGATTCTGTTTAATGGTAATGTAAAAGCAGCAGTTTTCTTTGAAATATCATTCTTTCTCGTACAAGGGTTCGAAATACTAAGACATTTAGGAGTTTATCATCACTGATGAATTTGCATAAACTCAATGATGTAAGTTGACCTGGAGGGATTTGGCCATTGAAGTGGAATTTTTGAGAATTTGGGGTTATTGACCATGTACTTTTTCAATAGGAAATATGCCTAATGGTTCGTGGAGGCTGATGCTTTGGACATACATTTTGGTAACTGGCTTCTGCTGGCTGATGCATCCAAGTTACATGCTTGTTTGTGTGTGGATATTATCTTTTGTTGCATATGTATTATCATCTTCATTATAAGCATACAAGTCTGTAACTTAATAGGTTTCAGATGGAGATGAAAATGCGTTTGAAGGAAGCAGAGAGAAAATTGGCATAGGACTGAAGGTAGACAGTGTGTTTTTCTTGTTATCCATGGTCCTTTTACTGTTACTTCTTTGTGTTCATGGTTTACATTTTTTCATCGCAAGGTTCGTAAAAGAGATGGAAATGAGGAAAGAACTTTGAAGAAGCAAAAGGTAGACAGGTGCATTTTTGAAGTTGCTAATCATTGTTAAGGATAAATTTTCCTCAATCACAATTCACAAGTATGTCTATTGGGTTTGGTTTATATCCTACTGCAGTTATAATTAGTTTTATTGGATCTCCGGTTGTACAGGCTGTAAGATGAAAGGCTTGCAATTTATAAGCAGTACTAAACAGATTATTACCTTTTCCCTTGTGATTTCCCTCCTGTTCCATATTTTAGTCTCTGAGGCACTGAATACGCTCCAACTGTTTAATTCATTTTAATGTTTCAGAGTTTCTAATGATTGCTCAGATGCTGAAAATATTACTGTTGACTACACTGTTTCCAAAACTAAAATCTGTTATGCTTTGGACTCATTCTTGTGAGTGCTTGATTTGTTAAAATATTGCACTAAATTCATGATGTCCAATATCATGCAATAGCAGTTGACTTGGTAGTCTAACACATGATTGATTGTTTTTTTGTCTAAGATATACTCTATTATCATATTATTTTTTACGATTGTTTTTCAACATCCCCTCTTAATGTGAGTTGGATTGTTACTCATTTATCTATTATTTTGCTCTTAATTCCTCCTAGTTGGCTACGCCTAATGAAGCTAGTGAGCTGGAGGTAGCCTTTTCTGTTTCTGATGTCAAGGATAAGTATAAGGTATGCTATCAGCAAGGTTTGTCCATTTACTGTAGCATCCCACAATATTAGCAGTAATTTATATGAGAGTAGATCATCAAAGCATTTTTGTGGATGTATTGTTGTCATATCAACCTTTTTCTTGGTCATATAGTTTTAGCTCTTACCAGATTTTTTGTTTTGTATTCAGAATGCCACATTATCATCCAAGTGGAAGGCATTCCAGACAATCATATTTCTGGAACGGGTGAGTATGGATGCCTGGATGAACCATATTCACTTAGGCAATGGGTTATTTGTACCTGAGTGGCTAACATTGACACATATCTTTGTTTTTATTTTCTTTCTTTTTGTTGGGTACAACCTTTTGGTTAAAATATTCTTCCCGAAACTAATGAATCTACAAGAAGTTGTGCTGAAAGATTTGATGTTAGTCCCATGGTATGCTGATCGAAAAAAAGTCTCATGGTACAGAATTTTTTATTTTTTCCTACTACTCTGACATGTTGCTGGAATAACTGTCATTTGTGGCATTTCTGCTTCCTTTTTGTAGATTGACTGCCATCTACATGCTTGTTGCTGCATCCTCTTTTATTTTTTTTTATCCTTACATGTTTTAAGAGCGTCCTATCCTGCAATGATGTCAGGTGTTGACATTGCTTCTGATATTACTGGCATTTTGTTGATGCATTTCTTATTTATTTTTCTAAGGATGATCGCCTTCATGATTCGGAAAAAATTGCTGCTTTTGATTTTGATGGATGTCTTGCAAAAACATCAGTGAAGAGGTATAAAAATTTATAGTTTTTGAGATATTTATAGAAATCTTTATTGTGTGGTTTTTAAGTAGATAATAACACAAAATTGTAGCATTCAACAGCTTAATGTAATGGCATCTTATAAACAGGTTATTCCACGTTTAGTATTATTAAGTTTACAGCGTATTGCACATTCTAATATGTATCCTTATACTGGCATTTATCAATTGATACCTAATTGATCTATAGCAGTATTTTTAGCCAACTGCATAAGTTCTAAACTACCAAACTTAATAAGTAAAATCATTCACGGATCCTTTGACTAATTTTGTATTGTAGATGATCTGGTTGGCTAGCCACCTGGCAAACCTTGTAACCCCCCCAAAATTGTTGCAATCCAAAGTAACTGTCTCTAATATCAATTCCTGATGTGCACTTCATATATTATCTCAATATCCTGAATTGCAGCGCGGTAATTAAGTGCAGCTATATGTGTTTCTTATGTAGCATAAATGTTCTACATGTAGATTTAAATGTATCCATGCTTGTACTTAGGGCTGCAAACTACCCAAATTGAGCAGAGTATTAGCTTGCTTAAGCTTGGCTCTGTTGGTATTTGATAGAGTTTGAGCTCAAGTGAGCTTGCAACCCTATCTCGAGCTTACCTCTTTGGCTGTTAAGTAATCATGGGTCGAGTAATCAAACCGTCAAAGAGGTCCAAAAAGTCGATGTTTCGAAGTTCGAACCCATAGAAACTACAAACCATGCCATTGGCTTATGTTCACCAGTAGAAACTACAAATCATGCCACTAGCTTATGTTCTTGAGCTAGCGTGAACTTAGCTCGGAGACATGCTCATGTTCAACCCGTGTAACTGTCAAGCCTCCAAGCCAAGCTCAAACTTAAGCTAAGCTCATTTTTTAAATAAACAAAATTTAAAATGGGACTCAAATTTGCTGAGCCCAAATCTATTCAGCAATGGTTTGGTTCTTTTTCAGCCTTTGTACCACTATTGCATGTGATGAAGTCTTTGTCTAAAAAACAAATTTCTCTACCTTCATAGTGTGTCCTGTAATATTTTTGGGCCCGGTGGAACTAATTAATTTAGCTCATTCTACAAGTATTAATTGGAATATTGATTGAGAACTTCCTTCTTTCCTTTAATTTCAGAGTAGGTTCAGATGCTTGGTCGCTTATGTATCCCTCAATACCGGAGAAGCTGCAGAGCCTGTACAATGATGGTTATAAGCTGGTTTGCCCTTTGACTCCTTAAAACACTAGATTTTTTATATTGGGTTTCCAATCTGGCAACTGNCGGAGAAGCTGCAGAGCCTGTACAATGATGGTTATAAGCTGGTTTGGCCTTTGACTCCTTAAAACACTAGATTTTTTATATTGGGTTTCCAATCTGGCAACTGNCGGGCTGTAAGATGAAACGCTTGCAATTTATAAGCAGTACTAAACAGATTATTACCTTTTCCCTTGTGATTTCCCTCCTGTTCCATATTTTAGGCTCTGAGGCACTGAATACGCTCCAACTGTTTAATGCATTTTAATGTTTCAGAGTTTCTAATGATTGCTCAGATGCTGAAAATATTACTGTTGACTACACTGTTTCCAAAACTAAAATCTGTTATGCTTTGGACTCATTCTTGTGAGTGCTTGATTTGTTAAAATATTGCACTAAATTCATGAAGTCCAATATCATGCAATAGCAGTTGACTTGGTAGTCTAACACATGATTGATTGTTTTTTTGTCGAAGATATACTCTATTATCATATTATTTTTTACGATTGTTTTTCAACATCCCCTCTTAATGTGAGTTGGATTGTTACTCATTTATCTATTATTTTGCTCTTAATTCCTCCTAGTTGGCTACGCCTAATGAAGCTAGTGAGCTGGAGGTAGCCTTTTCTGTTTCTGATGTCAAGGATAAGTATAAGGTATGCTATCAGCAAGGTTTGTCCATTTACTGTAGCATCCCACAATATTAGCAGTNTGGTTATTGATTCTTATTGTTGTCAGCTAAGTTGATCAAGTTGCATAACTATATTCTAATCATTACATTTCATTCTTTATCCTGAAACTGTGTTTCATCGTTGTCATTAATAGGTAATTTTCACCAACGAATCCAACATTGAGCGCTGGAAGAATAAAAGACAGGTCGCCGTGGACTCAAAAATTGGACGTCTGAACAGTTTTATTGAGGAAGTGAAAGTCCCTATTCAGGTGGTTTAGTCTGGTTCCTGTAGGTTTTCCTTTTTTGATCCCATAAGTGTGTGAACAGGAATTGAACAGTCTGAACTCTGAAGGATAAAATTTTATCTTTGTTGCCTAAAGAGAAAAAGAAAATAAAATCATATTACATTTTTCATTCATTTTTTGTGAGAACTTCACTTTTGTCCTTGCTGAAAGAAAAGTGATTTGTTTAAATACTTCCCTATTTTATGAAGTTTTTTTTGTCCCACCGACATTTGACTTTTGGAATTAATTTAATACTCTGCACCTTCTCTCAGATTTTTGGTATGTTTTACTTAAGAGTATGTTTCTTTTTTTTTAATTAGTTGCTGTCATCTACATGATGTTCTCCATGTATGCATTTCTTTTGTAAAAAAAAAGTTGAAAAACCGAGTAATGGGGTCTCAATGCTAAAAAGACAATTATAGTGCTTCTGTTAAAAATATGGTTTTAAGACTTTTAGATTGTTGTAAAATTTATTTCGAAATTCTTGAGAGGTTTATTTTCTGCTTTGGCTTCCTTAGCTTCTCCTGATTATTTGTAGATTCTAGTGATTTTTAAATTAGCTATCATTCCTGGTCCCCAATTCCCCTGGAATTCCTCATCATTAGAGTACTTCACAGCTGGTCGATCTAAATTTGTTGCTATGGTGTGCTCTACCCTACNTTTGTAGATTCTAGTGATTTTTAAATTAGCTATCATTCCTGGTCCCCAATTCTCCTGGAATTCCTCATCATGAGAGTACTTCACAGCTGGTCGATCTAAATTTGTTGCTATGGTGTGCTCTACCCTACATCTTCTGATTTAGGGTGCCCTGTCCATACAAGCTCTGAATCTTGGAAGTTAATGGTGCTTGGAAAGTGGGCATCATTATTTTATTAATTTTATCGAACTTCCTTGATGCTTAGAATTTTGGAACAATTATTTTTTTAATATAGTTGGACTTGTTTGAGGTATGTGATAAATGAATTATACCTGCATAACGAAATATTTTAGGAAACTGTGAAAGAAGTTAACTTGCAATCATCAGTATGCAGGTTTTCATTGCTTGTGGGTATGATAAATCTAATGGTCAAGCAGAAGATCCCTTCCGCAAACCCAAACCTGGGATGTGGCGCATAATGCAGCAACACTTCAACTCTGGCATTGCGGTTGATATGAATCAGTTATCATCTCGTTCACATTCTTGCTTTACTTTCTTTTTAGTTTTTGGGCTCTCTAAGGCATCTATTTTCACTATTCTTTTACATAGGAAGATCTCCTACCATTTTCTTGTCCATCTTCTGTCCACAATTATTTTATGGTTTCTAAATTCTTTACCATGACATTATCATAGAAAATGGAAACAGTCAATTGACATAAGATTTCTCGCTGCACCACAGATCATTTTATGTTGGTGATGCAGCTGGGAGACCTGATGATCATAGTGATGCTGACATCAAGTTTGCACAGGTACTTGAAAAGTCCATAAGCGAAATATTTGTATCATCTTCATGCACTAATAAAACACTTACATTCTAAACTTGCATTTTCTCTAATCCCATCAGCTTTCTTGTCCATTCTGTTTAGTAGTTTGCAGTCATAAATCTGCTCATGTTACACCACAATACCAAATTGATTTGCTCCCAACCCATTCCTGGATCATTCTATATGTTGTGATTTTGAGTCCATTTTATTTGCCTGATTAATCTGGAAAATTGTTCAAGCTTTTAGACATTTTGTNTGGCCGTCTCTATACTTCGTTTTGCAAGCCTTTCCATTGCTTCATTGCTACTCGCTGCATTCTTAAACTCATCTTCCCAATACCTATCATCCTCCTCTGCACTCGACTCCTCATCTTCATCAATCCCCAAATCATCATCTCCACCACCTTCAATGTCCAAAATCACATCCTGATCACCATCATCATCATCGTCGCTATTGTCACCCTCATCATCCCCATCATCCTCATCCCAATCAATCACCTCGGTCTCCCTATCATTACGTCGACGATCATCATCATCATCTGGGGCATCACAACCAAATTCCATCTCCTCTAATTTAGCCTTCCACTCTTTTGTATAAGGATGCAACAATTCAACCGGATGATTTCCTAGCAGAAACTCCAAACACTTGGATTTTTTCTCATCACTCAATTTCTCATAACCCTTCACCACATCATCCACAAATGCCTTCGGACTCACCTTCACAATCTTACACAATCCACCAAAATAAGTAGACAACTCGACCCTCCCATCATCATTCTCCACCTCACACAAAAAATCCCTCTCTGTTTCTGGATCAAGCAATGGCGTCAATGCCTTGAAGAAATCATCCTGAGGCTCAAACCTGCACTGATACACGGGCCTCTTCACGTATATAATATCGGGTCTCATCCATGCCGCACATTGTGTTATCAATGCCCTCGACTTATTGCCAAGCCTCCCCATCAAACTCCACTTATCCAACCTCTGTTTCCCAGCTTCAAGCACAACCTCACAAACCAAAGTCCATTGTTGCCAAGGCAATTCCGAAACTCGCCACTTCGGGTGCCTAACAAACACCCAAAAGTACCTAAACCCTAAACTCTTATCCATGAAATCCAACCTCTTCTGAAAATCTTGAGCCATTTCAAACTGCTCAATTTTTTCCCATTCGTCATGGTCCTTAACTTCACCAATCATCGTCACACATTCATCGGAAAATCGCCCACGAATGGGGTCACCTAAAACCACTCCACGCCACGAATATGGCCCAAATTCACCATATTTGTACCAATCATAAGGGTGTTTCAGATTTGGGTCATCTTTTTCCATAAACCTGACCAACCTATCATAACCCAAACCGATCATTTGAAGCTCTTCTTCGGAAAAATTATCTGGGTAGTTTTTGTGAGGGTTTTTGAGCCTATAGAACAAACTCTCAGCTAGTTTTTGGCTTTTCCTGCGAGCATTTCGCCTTGCCTCTCGCCGGAGCTCAGCGGGTCCTTCTATGCGGCCGGGGGAGGGCCCTCCTGACTTCTTCTTGCTCCGTCCGGCGAATGAACGGAGGTCTCTTTGGTGGATGGTGGCATTTGGGTCCGAAAATGGAGGATTACGAGTTTGAGAGAAGCACTGGGATTGAAATGAGAGGCGTTTGGTGCTCTTTGGGGAGGAGAGAATCGGGAATAGGGTTATGAGGAGAGGGTTTGAAAATCTGGAGAGAGAATATGATGGGGATTGGAAGGTGGAGATAGGAGGGTTTAGGGTTTTAGAGAGGGAGAGGTTTGGAGTCAGCATTTGGGGAGTGGAAATGAGGAGAGAGAATTAGACGGAGGGAGGATATGAGCTTTTGCCTGCCTCTTGTGTTGATAGTTGAGAACCAGTTTTACAATGGAAGAATCACACTTTGTACCCCAAAAAATTAAAAAAAAATTATTTTATATTTTTAAAAATTAAATTTAATACATGAAGAATATAATGCAAAAAATTTAAATTTTTTGGGATATAAAATATAAAAAATTCCTCAACCAAAATAGTTGGTACACTCTTAAGGATTAGTTGTGATAATCAAAGTCATATCATATTATATTTGTGCGGTGATATTTTAGATTCAATTTTACTTTGAAAATTTAACTATTGTGTAGATTAAGTAGCACTAAAATCAATATTGGTCCATAAAACTCTAAGGTGTAATTCAAGTGATAAAAAAGACGAGTTGTATTCGCAAACTTTCTAAGTTCGAATTTTGGCAATTTTCAGACTACGAGAGATTTATCTCTCATGAATTCTCTAATTCTGGTATGAATGACCTACTTTTGGCCAAGGGTGGCTTAAGACAATTAGAGGCCTAAAGCAAAAACACTAAATGTAGTGTTTTTTTATTTTTAATATTAATTTTTAAAAAAAATTAATTTATTTTCAATTTATTATATGAGAGAGAGACCGAAGAAGGACATACTAGTATTACTGCAAAAAATATTTTAACTTTTGTTTTTGTTTTTTATTAGAAAGAGAGTTTAATTTTAACTTTTTTTTTAATATTTTGTACTAATTTTTACACAAAAAGAGAGAGAGAAAAAAAAATAAGGGTAAATATGAGTTGACTTTTGAAAACTTTTTATTTTTTCAACTTATGATTTTTAGAAATCTAATGTTATGAATTTAATCATGAACCCAAATTATTACAATAAAAATATTGATTGTACTTAATATTTTGGGGCCTTTTTTTTNAACAATCTCCTTCACAAGATTTCTGTAAGTAAATGGTCTCACAGCCGCTCGCAAGAACAGCTCAGGAGGGATTCTACTCTTCTTCACCCTCTTCCTAAATGGACCATACCCAAGCTGCTTCCATTCTTCTGCACTCACTTTTGCCCTCGTACGCCTCATCGCCATTTCATCTCCTTCTGAGGATACCCTTTTTCCCTTCTCTTCCATTATACTTGACTGCTGCTTCTCATACAACTTAGTAGCCGTCTCTATACTTCGTTTTGCAAGCCTTTCCATTGCTTCATTGCTACTCACTGCATTCTTAAACTCATCTTCCCAATACCTCTCATCCTCCTCTGCACTCGACTCCTCATCTTCATCAATCCCCAAATCATCATCTCCACCACCTTCAATGTCCAAAATCACATCCTGATCACCATCATCATCATCGTCGCTATTGTCACCCTCATCATCCCCATCATCCTCATCCCAATCAATCACCTCGGTCTCCCTATCATTACGACGACGATCATCATCATCATCTGGGGCATCACAACCAAATTCCATCTCCTCTAATTTAGCCTTCCACTCTTTTGTATAAGGATGCAACAATTCAACCGGATGATTTCCTAGCAGAAACTCCAAACACTTGGATTTCTTCTCATCACTCAATTTCTCATAACCCTTCACCACATCATCCACAAATGCCTTCGGACTCACCTTCACAATCTTACACAATCCACCAAAATAAGTAGACAACTCGACCCTCCCATCATCATTCTCCACCTCACACAAAAAATCCCTCTCTGTTTCTGGATCAAGCAATGGCGTCAATGCCTTGAAGAAATCATCCTGAGGCTCAAACCTGCACTGATACACGGGCCTCTTCACGTATATAATATCGGGTCTCATCCATGCCGCACATTGTGTTATCAATGCCCTCGACTTATTGCCAAGCCTCCCCATCAAACTCCACTTATCCAACCTCTGTTTCCCAGCTTCAAGCACAACCTCACAAACCAAAGTCCATTGTTGCCAAGGCAATTCCGAAACTCGCCACTTCGGGTGCCTAACAAACACCCAAAAGTACCTAAACCCTAAACTCTTATCCATGAAATCCAACCTCTTCTGAAAATCTTGAGCCATTTCAAACTGCTCAATTTTTTCCCATTCGTCATGGTCCTTAACTTCACCAATCATCGTCACACATTCATCGGAAAATCGCCCACGAATGGGGTCACCTAAAACCACTCCACGCCACGAATATGGCCCAAATTCACCATATTTGTACCAATCATAAGGGTGTTTCAGATTTGGGTCATCTTTTTCCATAAACCTGACCAACCTATCATAACCCAAACCGATCATTTGAAGCTCTTCTTCGGAAAAATTATCTGGGTAGTTTTTGTGAGGGTTTTTGAGCCTATAGAACAAACTCTCAGCTAGTTTTTGGCTTTTCCTGCGAGCATTTCGCCTTGCCTCTCGCCGGAGCTCAGCGGGTCCTTCTATGCGGCCGGGGGAGGGCCCTCCTGACTTCTTCTTGCTCCGTCCGGCGAATGAACGGAGGTCTCTTTGGTGGATGGTGGCATTTGGGTCCGAAAATGGAGGATTACGAGTTTGAGAGAAGCACTGGGATTGAAATGAGAGGCGTTTGGTGCTCTTTGGGGAGGAGAGAATCGGGAATAGGGTTATGAGGAGAGGGTTTGAAAATCTGGAGAGAGAATATGATGGGGATTGGAAGGTGGAGATAGGAGGGTTTAGGGTTTTAGAGAGGGAGAGGTTTGGAGTCAGCATTTGGGGAGTGGAAATGAGGAGAGAGAATTAGACGGAGGGAGGATATGAGCTTTTGCCTGCCTCTTGTGTTGATAGTTGAGAACCAGTTTTACAATGGAAGAATCACACTTTGTACCCCAAAAAATTAAAAAAAAATTATTTTATATTTTTAAAAATTAAATTTAATACATGAAGAATATAATGCAAAAAATTTAAATTTTTTGGGATATAAAATATAAAAAATTCCTCAACCAAAATAGTTGGTACACTCTTAAGGATTAGTTGTGATAATCAAAGTCATATCATATTATATTTGTGCGGTGATATTTTAGATTCAATTTTACTTTGAAAATTTAACTATTGTGTAGATTAAGTAGCACTAAAATCAATATTGGTCCATAAAACTCTAAGGTGTAATTCAAGTGATAAAAAAGACGAGTTGTATTCGCAAACTTTCTAAGTTCGAATTTTGGCAATTTTCAGACTACGAGAGATTTATCTCTCATGAATTCTCTAATTCTGGTATGAATGACCTACTTTTGGCCAAGGGTGGCTTAAGACAATTAGAGGCCTAAAGCAAAAACACTAAATGTAGTGTTTTTTTATTTTTAATATTAATTTTTAAAAAAAATTAATTTATTTTCAATTTATTATATGAGAGAGAGACCGAAGAAGGACATACTAGTATTACTGCAAAAAATATTTTAACTTTTGTTTTTGTTTTTTATTAGAAAGAGAGTTTAATTTTAACTTTTTTTTTAATATTTTGTACTAATTTTTACACAAAAAGAGAGAGAGAAAAAAAAATAAGGGTAAATATGAGTTGACTTTTGAAAACTTTTTATTTTTTCAACTTATGATTTTTAGAAATCTAATGTTATGAATTTAATCATGAACCCAAATTATTACAATAAAAATATTGATTGTACTTAATATTTTGGGGCCTTTTTTTTATTAAAATTTAAAGAATTTAATTTTTTTATGGGCTAGTAATATACTTAAAAATTTAGGACCTTCTAAAAATTTTGGGCTTAAAGCCTACTTTTTTTTAATGCTGTTGAGCCGATCCTACTTTTGATGGAATCAAGAAAGAGATTAGTTAAGATGCGAGTAAATTTGATCGCACATTCTTGACCTTTCAACTAAAATATTGATTACTTAAGCATATATATAGGTGATCATGCTTTTGAAATTTGGAATTTGGAATTTTATACTTTTATTGGATTATGAGTAGACAACGAACTATGAATAATTAAGGGCTTGTTTGGTTTGAATTTCAAAAAATAGTATCTAAAAATAATTTTTGAGAAGAGTTTTAAGAAAGTAGTTTTGATATTTTTTGAGATAAAAAACTTGTTTGGTTAGATGATTTCAAAAACAATTTTACAATATAGAAAATAGTAAAACCTGTTTAGACAGTCTAAATATATATTTGAACAGTAATTGTTAAAAATAATGGTCTTGTTCTTTCTGCTATTAAAATGAAACTCTTTCAATTAAAGGTCAAAATTTTAGGTCATTATATTGAATAAGGGAATATAGTCCCAATTAAAAGAAATATTGAATTTGCATCTAAATTTTCAGATGAAATTACAGATAAAAGGCAATTATAAAGATTTTGGGAAGTTTAAATTATTTAATTGATTTTTATCAAAATCTTGCTCAGGACACTGCTATTTTATATTTTCGACTTAAGAAAAATCCATCTCCTTGGACAAATGATCATACAGAAGCAATAAAAAGGANGAACTAAAATCAATATTGGTCCATAAAACTCTAAGGTGTAATTCAAGTGATAAAAAAGACGAGTTGTATACACAGACTTTCTAAGTTCGAATTTTGACAATTTTCAGACTACGAGAGATTTATCTCTCATGAATTCTCTAATTCTGGTATGAATGACCTACTTTTGGCCAGGGGTGGCTTAAGACAATTAGAGGCCTAAAGCAAAAACACTAAATGTAGTCTTTTTTTATTTTTAATATTAATTTTTTAAAAAAATTAATTTATTTTCAATTTATTATATGAGAGAGAGACCGAAGAAGGACATGCTAGTATTACTGCAAAAAATATTTTAANTAGGTCTAATTCCATTAAAACTATAATTGGATTCCGATTTCGGATAGGATTAAATCAAAATCTTTATCAAAGTCTTCTTCTTGAGAAGATATGTTAACAGGTCGANGAGAGACCGAAGAAGGACATGCTAGTATTACTGCAAAAAATATTTTAACTTTTGTTTTTGTTTTTTATTAGAAAGAGAGTTTAATTTTAACTTTTTTTTAATATTTTGTACTAATTTTTACACAAAAAGAGAGAGAGAAAAAAAAAATAAGGGTAAATATGAGTTGACTTTTGAAAACTTTTTATTTTTTCAACTTATGATTTTTAGAAATCTAATGTTATGAATTTAATCATGAACCCAAATTATTACAATAAAAATATTGATTGTACTTAATATTTTGGGGCCTTTTTTTTTATTAAAATTTAAAGAATTTAATTTTTTTATGGGCTAGTAATATACTTAAAAATTTAGGACCTTCTAAAAATTTTGGGCTTAAAGCCTACTTTTTTTTAATTGCTGTTGAGCCGATCCTACTTTTGATGGAATCAAGAAAGAGATTAGTTAAGATGCGAGTAAATTTGATCGCACATTCTTGACCTTTCAACTAAAATATTGATTACTTAAGCATATATATAGGTGATCATGCTTTTGAAATTTGGAATTTGGAATTTTATACTTTTATTGGATTATGAGTAGACAACGAACTATGAATAATTAAGGGCTTGTTTGGTTTGAATTTCAAAAAATAGTATCTAAAAATAATTTTTGAGAAGAGTTTTAAGAAAGTAGTTTTGATATTTTTTGAGATAAAAAACTTGTTTGGTTAGATGATTTCAAAAACAATTTTACAATATAGAAAATAGTAAAACCTGTTTAGACAGTCTAAATATATATTTGAACAGTAATTGTTAAAAATAATGGTCTTGTTCTTTCTGCTATTAAAATGAAACTCTTTCAATTAAAGGTCAAAATTTTAGGTCATTATATTGAATAAGGGAATATAGTCCCAATTAAAAGAAATATTGAATTTGCATCTAAATTTTCAGATGAAATTACAGATAAAAGGCAATTATAAAGATTTTGGGAAGTTTAAATTATTTAATTGATTTTTATCAAAATCTTGCTCAGGACACTGCTATTTTATATTTTCGACTTAAGAAAAATCCATCTCCTTGGACAAATGATCATACAGAAGCAATAAAAAGGATAAAGCTTAAAGTTAAATATTTACCATGTCTTTCTTTGATAAATCCAACATGGATTAAATTGTTGAAATTGATGCTTGTATTTGCTTGATATTTTCCTTAGTGCTTCCTATGGTCTTGCCTTCATGGTCGCGTATTAGCGATGGTAGGCCTTTTTTTTTTTTTTTCTGTGGTTAGGAGTGTTTAGGTCGTTTTATTCCCTTCGAGCGTTGACAGCGTTGATTGCAAGAAAATAAGATTGTGGGAAAAAAATCATTAAAACAGTTTTAGCTCACAATAGGATGCTAAGAAAATTATTATTTCAGGATTGTTGTAGCAATTGTCGTAGTAGCGGTACTTTAACAGAATTAAAAAACGAATTACAGTAGCAACTCGAAAAAGATAATAGTGAAACATATAAATCAACAGAAAAACCTTTGAGATACCACTATGACTTTAAACTTATTTAAATTTCAACTTAATCATAAAGATGACTATGTCAAAAATATGGAAGAGATACAATTCTCTGATATTGAAAATAAATTGCAAATCTGAGATATATCCCAGTATCCTACTAAGAAAATCTATAATATTGACACATTTGATTTTAAATCGAGCTTAAATATTAAAACGATTGAAAGGACTGTTCCTTTTGATTAAACTGGAGATATTTTGCAACTATTAATTGAATGAGAAGTCTTAAAGGCTCAAGATAAAGATTATAAATTTTTGCATATTGGATTAGTTCAAGTTGCTTTAAAACCTTTAACTCTTCAAGGATTAAATGTCTCTTTTATGTTAACATTACATTAATGACTGGCACTATGATTGGAATTATAAACAATGGCCGGAGACTATAGTCCTAGAAGAATTTTGCCAAAAAAATGATAAATAAATTTTGTGATACAACTATTAGAACCCAAGTTTTTGCATATAAAAATGCATATTTTTTGGATGACTATAAAAATGCTTTTTATGCATATCGAAGCGCATCTTATTTTAATCCATATACGGATGTTCATTATTTTGATGCATATAAAAATGTTTATTATCTTTCACTCCCTATAAAGACATCACATAAATGTGATATAGATAACAATCCGTCAAAACAACTTAAAGTTGTTACATCTTTGTCAAATAAAGTTGACAATAAAGACAAGTTGTCAGGAGATAAATCTCTCTTTATTATCCAAAGATCTTTGACTTTGCCTCCATATATGGAGCTTAATTTTTTATTTTTCTCTAAAAATTATTAAAAGGATATATCCTTATGATATTAATGATCCCAGAAAAATCAGGGAATATTTAATTACATCTTTATACCACCTAAAATGTGTTAAGGTGGGACATCTTAAATTCATTAAAAGTTCTTTACTTTTATCAAAATTTTGAAAACTGGATCCAACAAATTGTTTAAATATAATTTATACCAAGGTATAGACAACATCTTCTTGAGTAATTATAGTTCTATTTTCTGCTGTTGTTGACTGCATTTAAAATTTCATTTTGTTGAACTGAACTTAAATAGTTATTCCACCATCCTCTTAGTTGGCCTGTAAAGCCAGTGATAATAAATTTAACAGTAGCATGATCAGTATTTTGGTGTGAATGTATTAAATTTTTAATTTTAGTGAGATGTTGGCCTATAGCTTGAAGACAAACATTGGTAGAATTATTTTGTTTTATGAAAATAGTATTGCCTATATAACAAGCATTGATATAAATTTCTTCGGAGTTATTTAGGGGTATTTTTATTGGTTCAGTTGTTGGGG